TTTAAAATTTTTATGTTCGGAGTTCGGCACAATAGACATCTGCCGTTATTGCTTGACCAGATCGAAAAAAACTATAGTGAATAACACCATGCTGAGACCACCAAACAGTTACCATTACCTTTTTATTGGTTTAATTAAAATAAAAACGTTTTACAAGCAAATAGTATCTTTTTCATATAAAATAAATGGTACCTTAGGAATGAATGCGTATATTGAACAATAAGAAAATTGCTCGTTGTCTACACTATGGTTACGCATTGCGTAAGCGCAGCCATCGATTGGCGAATATAAAGACTTGCGCAAAAATTACCGCGAAACGTCTTTGTAAACTATCTGCTGTACTTTCATTGTAGTACGTACTTCTTAATTAAAAATTACGATTAATTGTTACGTAAAAAGCAACAATTTAAATAAATAATGTTAGCTGGATACCATTTCATTACTTATTTTAACACGGGTGACTCAGTTTTACATATGTATATATGTTGCCTCATAGTTGATTTTAAGTAGCATTTCTTTATAAATGAGATATCCTTCTTTAATCTCATTTGAATAGCTATCGAAAAGAGGTTTGACTACAAAATACTGCTAAAAAATAAAAACTATAAAAAATAAGAGAGCAAATTGTTAGCGTACTTTTACTTTCGTTTTGTAATATGTATCTAGATACTAACCGCTACACTTTCAATCTTAGAAATAAGATTAAGGTTGTTGGTATATGTTTGCAGTCTTTCTAGTAAAAAGTTTAATCATTTTAGAGGTTTTTTACTTTATTTTTTCATTAACAGCTTTCTTACTTCATTCGAACTCTTGTTTATTTGTCAAAAAAAATTCTTTGGTAATTACTTTTATTCGACTATAGATACGCGTGTTACGAGTTATCTATTCTTATAATGTTTGCGAAACAATATTGTGGGTAGCTATCAAAATTATATTACTAAAACTCATATTTAAATAATGCAACAAAGATAGGACTTGGCACTGCTTCTGATGCACTGATAATCTTCATGGATATATTTTCAACAAAGTCATTAGTACATTTCGGAATTTTCCGAAATTTCTTACGTGAACATACTAGGCCCTGTTGTCTCGTTTTTCATTGATTCAATCAGATTTCTTTTTGAAACTGATTGGATACAATTCATCGACTGATCCCATTACAAACGCGTAAAAACTACTTTTCAATCAAAATTATCCAATTATTTAAGGTCTAACGCGCTGGCTGCAAATTACATCACAGTTTCCGAGCAGTTGGTTTTAAATAGCGTGCCGAACGTGCTTACGTAACGTTGCAGATCAGATGCGGAGTTTCATTCAAGCCTACCCCCTTCAACCCCCACTTCAAAGTGCATCTCTCTCACCCCATTAGATGAAAGCCACTTCATTTATTGTGGTGCCTTTATAAAAAGAAAAATTAACAATTTAAAAGGAATCCGTTTCTAGGGGATATTGGCTTGATGAAGTGTGAACATGTTTAAGTATTTTTTGAACTTTTAGATATAAATTGTCTAACAAATTATACTATATCACGATGGGAATAGAGGTGGTTATTTGGTATTTCATTGCACACGATTTTGTACCTAACTTCGACTCACAAATTCAAAATCAACTGTATTATTTGGATAAGCTGACGTGCTTTTAACTGTACAAATCATGCTTCTATTCAAGCAACGTCATTATCCTACTTTTATCTACCTACTAGCTGTTTTTCCGCGACTTCGTCCATGTGAATTATAGACCATCGGTCGGTTTCTGAATAGGGGTGTTGACACCTTTTTTATAGGTATACATGGAATAAAAATCAAAAACATATCATACATATAACAAGTTAAAATCTAAAAGTAAATTTAATTTTTAAAATTTCCCGTGAAAACCGGCACTTCTGTCATGGCATCTGTATGATGTCACGGCACTCTGAAACGAATATCGTTCTATGTACGCATAAGGTTGAATTCTCTAAGTTCTGATATGACTAAGAAGGGTATGAGTAAAAACATTTGTTTTTTAAATGTTTACTGTCTACACCCGTATTGCAAAAAGTACAAAATCTCAACTGATTATTCTCAATAACCTAAGTTTTTACCTTTGATTAACTTTTAACATGGCAAATAATTCTAGTTTTCATAAAACTGACCATTATAAAAACTCAAATCAGAATCATGTTTAAGAGACTATTGAGTACAGTTTGAGACGTGCTTAACTTTAAAAGCTCAATTCTAAAACCGAGTGTTAGTCCCTCGCATATGACGTAACTTCCTGTAGATGAAAGAATTTTAAAATCACTCCAGTACTTTTGGAGCCTATTCGGATGCAAACAAACAAACAATCTGTACCTACTCATAATAATGTTAATACAGAAATGCGAAATTTGTGACGATGAATATGACTCTATATAGGATATCTATAGTATATGGACACACGCACAAAAACTACTGAACCGATTTTGATGAAATTTGGTATACCTACGGATAATTCTTTGGTTGAACTTACTACTCTTTATCTTAATAAACACGAGTGCAAAGCCACTGACGGAAAGCTAGTTTTTTTACAGTACAGTAGGAGATATGGGATATTCACTCACGACGAGTTTCTTCTTTCTAGGACCACATTTATATTTCGAATTATTGAACACAAGAAATGATTCCTTATTAATTTCTCTCATTCCATTTTGTTATCTCTTTGAGTATCAAACACATCTATGATTTTATTTATGTTTTTACTGAACTTGTTCGATTTCCACAAATTTATACACACGTAACCAAGCAGGTTTTATTGTTGATCGACTTGGCGTCCGTTAATTTATTATTAAATACTGAATTACTGTTTTAATAATTACATTACAATATCTTGTCTCTAGGAAATTATAATGAGATATATAAAGCCTAATGCCAAAGGTCACAAACGAATTTCATGACAAAAGAAAGACAAAAAATATCCCGAATGATGTGTGACGATAATTAACACCCACGTTCGCTAAATTGAATATGCACTGGCTTAGTTTGCTGGATTATTGCGGGATGTGCCAATTACACTAGATTCTAACATGCTGTAAATATAATCAAGTAGGTGGTAGAAATACGAGCTCGACGACGGACTGATTAACGCGTTCGGTCTGCAGTGTGCAGAATAACCGACATTCGCGAGGGTCAGTCATAAGGTGTGTGAACAAAACTTTATTGTCTTGAGGAGCTCAATTTAATTAGTGGTTAGCGCGCTCGGTCTGCGATATGCTTGATAAGCAACTTTCGCAATGACCGGTAATAGGATGTGTGACCAAAAATTTATTGTCTTGAGCTCCTCCGCGCTCGTAAGGCACGTTAAGCCGTTGGTCCCGGCTGTATCTGCAGTCATAAATACTCACCAATCAGCAACTGGACCAGCTTGGTGGACCATGTTCTATTCACCCTATTCAATTTGATTTGATTCCATTCAAAGCAAAGGCCCCAGCGGTGGGGATATTAATAGGCTGGTGATATGATGTGAAGTGTTGTGCTTTGTCATGTTAAGTTTTTGCCGAAAAGTAGCCATAAAACTTTTTTAAATCTCCTAATTATGTAACAGTGTGCAATAAATTAAATAATTTTTTTGTAAACTTTTAATTTCCAATAACTGGCAACTAAATGCAGTCATCTAAAGATATGAAGCAGATCTGTTATTTAAAATATATTAATGTTAATAAGCGCATTCTTTATTCAGTTAAAAGTTTCTGTATCCCAAACCCCTTATGCAGACTAAATATTATTTTCATTGTCAATTAAAATTTATAGGAGATATTCAAAATTTGCAGTTCTTATAAATGAGCTGTATAGTATCAATGACATCTTTGACAATTAATCTGTTATGTACCTATAAGGAATAAGGTAACACTAAAAAAGTTTGATTAAACTCCTAAGTAAAATTCCCAATTTATTAATTAAATTCATCTGTATCTATGAGCAATGTTGGCAAAATAATCAAAATTTTAATTTAATTAGTTTTGCCATTATATTACTATAATACTATATATTATACTACTCCTGTAAACATTATTTAATTAATAAATTCACCAACAATTGTTACAACAATAATTGAAACAGAATATTATTTCTTCAAATTAGACTAATTGTACAATAAAACCACAGGCAAACCTAATCAAACAAACTATAACAAACTATAGACATAAAAATATATTTTTAACTGATGAAGTCAAAGAGCTTAGTGCTGTTATCTTAGTTTTTTTTGGAATTAAAACTTTTTCTAGTTTGTGTGTCATAATTGCCACCAATGAGATTCATATAGTTTTATTTAAGTTTTTTAGCATATGTAACCAAACATTTCAGCTAAAATTGTTAGATTTTTAATAAAAATACACTTAGTCATTGCGTTATAAAGATTAAAGTTTGAATAATACCTTAAGGTTTCTAATATAAAAATAAATAAAAAATTGATATAGTCTGATTTAGAATTGAGTCACTGAATGAATGAATAAAATATGCTTTATTGTACAGAATTAAAATTCACAATTGGTGCAGCCTTATTACTAAAGTTTAATGCCTTCCAGGCAACCTTTGATTTAAATTTATACAAATAATTGTTAAGTTATTAAGTGAAAAAGTTCAGCAGTTCCCATTAGATCTTTGGAATAAACATTACATAAAATAATTATGCAATTGTGGAAATTTCAAAGTACAATATGTTCCTATGTAAAATTTAGATAATATTTACAAGTAAACCTTTCTGTGAATAAATAAATATTTGTTCCAAAATAGAATTGAGACATTCACTTTTTCTAAAACCTAGACAGAAATATAGGCTATAATTTTAAGGTATTCAAAAACAAACACAACATTTTAGAATATGAGGTGACATGTTGCATGACTGAATTTGCCCTAAAGAATGTTACTACTGCCATTTAAAAATTTCAATTTGATGGCATATTGACATACAACATTAAAAGAAACATTTAAGCAGTAACTTAGTTAAGTAAAATATTATTCTATACAATCAAAATTGTAACTTACCTAGGTCGGTTCTGCATATAGTACTGACCCCCGAAAATAAAAGCCATGTATATTCCCACATAATAAAAAGCCACAGTCCAATTTTCTGTCATCCACTGCCTATGCTTATTATGTTGAAACTCATTTTCAAATTCGAAAATGTACGAATAATTCGGCTTAACATCCAAGTTATAATTAAAAGTTATTTTAGACTCCATTATTGTATATAAATTAGTCTAAATCTTTCACTGAAACGAGCAGGCACTGCGCAAAGTTACTTAGAAAGTCTCGCTAATCACAGGTAAGATGATTTTAACCTAAAAAATACCGCGATACCGATTATCGTTATATCACTGATGACAAAACGTCAATATTCCGAAGGGAGGTGAGGCGTACTGCCTATGAGATAGTAACGTGTATAATGATCGCAGGACGCGTTATGATTGACTATATATTTGCGGCTACGAGAAGTTGTTCGGAACCCCGAACCTTTAAACTTGTTACTTCATTAAGACGGAAAATAATGAAATTCATTAACGAGCACGCCACGCTACACCGCCGTGTTCCAACTTCATTTTCTGACAGAATAAATGACAGCGACAGTTTGTACCCCCACCCCCCGCGTCGCATGAAAGTTAGGTTATTGGTCAAAAAGAGACCAGACCAAAGACATTATTGGACGAAAGAAACTTGGCAAGTTCGTTCTGATTTGGCATACGATGACGTTTACGTTGCTTTTATATTTGAGCTACGGCATCATTATTATACTATCCAAAGATGGATTGTTATGTAAATAAAAAAAAAATATATACTTATAAATTATTATATGTATCTTTGATTTTTATTAATTTAATGTTTAGCGCCTAATGGATTTTTGGGCCATGACAGCATTGTTGTTGTTAAAATATATTAATATCGCTCATTTTTCATCCGTCTATCGATCAACGATTTATAACAATAATATTATATTACTTTTTAAATAAATAATATCATTTTCAGATGGCATTTTAATCAAGGCTGAAATGTAGTTTTTTAGTCTTGAGCTTTCTTCAAACCTAGATACGTACTCGAAACACAATGGTATACCTACATCAAGGATGTTGCGGACATACGGATCCATATTCGTAATTGCGGAACTTCCCCATCAATTTAATCATCCACCACATCTACTTACACATTTGTCAGAGTTCATGCGCTATTTCTGTAATTCAATTTCATTGTGTGTTTAATACCCTTTATTATTACGTATTGTACTTCCATTTTCTTGTGATTGAGGAAGTATTAAAAAAAACATTAGTTCCCGAAATCAAACTAGATGTCGCTACGGTACGTTCTTGATTTCTCCATGACAACCTTTCCGGTTTTCTTTCAAGTTTAAAAGGAAATTAGTTTTCAAAACTACTCAGATTCCATTAAACTCATATTCTATTGTTTAATGAACAATTCATATTCTATTTGTACTTTTTCGTATTTGTATTGATATTTAAATTCCGAACTTTTCAAATTTCAGTTTTTTAATATGATAGTTCTTCTTCTTCTTCTTAACTTTAATGGCACTTTGCGTTTAATATAAAAGGAACGGAAATTACTGTCTTTGGTCCATTCGTTTCCTGCAAAAATCAACTTTTGTTAGAGTCGCCATCTAGTGGGGGTGCTTTTTTAGTGCTTTCGTTTTTTTTTAATACTTCCTCATTGTATCGTTCTATGCAGTCTAAAGAGAAGATCGGGTTCAAATCCAGTATTTACATGGAATCACCATAACCGGTATTCCGTAAGTGCCTTGCGTTCTTTCTAAAAATTTGATTGTAGGTTACGATTTTCGAGTTACATTATTTTTCACCTTTCATTGAAGAGTAACAATTTTTAAAAGAGTAAAAAAAGTTTTTGAATTTTTGTGCAAAACTACAAAATATGATATTGTAAATATGGCAAACCCGCAATACTTATTTTTTGTGCATTGAACATACAAACGGTCGCCTCTACCTCTGCCTCTACCACCCTCTATAGTTTGATTCAAAATTGTAATAACAATTTTATTTCTCACCACAAACAAACTTACAAAAGTGTGAACATAATAATATAATAAAGATACTTTATTGCACTCAATATGTTACATTGTTTACAGGAGCTTATCATTTAAAAGATTGAGTAAACGGTCTTATTGCTAAACAGCAATTTCTTCCAGGCAACCTATGATGAAAATGAATAACGAATAAAGATACTATGGGGAGTGGGTGCAATATTAAGAAGGATAAATAGATAGCGTTAATATATTATAATAAGTAAATATAAAATAAAAAAATAATGTATACAAATGAATTGAATTAAACAGTTTTAGAGTGAAAGAATAATATGAAAATAGTTTTAAGATGTAGAAAGGAAATAATTTCTAACTTCATTGCTAAAGGATCCTAAAGATCTAGCCCTCCTGATACCCTCTGAAAGAGAATTCCACAGACGCACAGCATGCACAGCAAAAGAATAGGAATAAAAATCAGTAGAGTGACGAGGGATTTCGAGACTGAGGTTTGAAGCGGAACGCAACGTACATTGTGATGAAGAGGAGCGAAAAGAGAATGATTTTTTAAGATATGGTGGAGATGATGGGAAGAAAAGTATAGAGTAAAGAACCGTGCGAGTATGTAATTCCCTACGCCGGCGACTAGGGAGCCAATTTAACTTTGAACGGAAAAACGACACATGGTCATATTTTCGAAGATTGAAAATAAATCGAATGCAAACATTCTGCAGACGCTCCAGTTTGTTGAGAAGTTGTTCTAAAAGATCTGTATAGCACATATCAGCGTAGACGATAATAGACATTAGGGAATGCGCCAAAGTGATTTTGGTACTGATCGGGAAAAAATTAAGCAGACGACTCAGTGAACCATACGCAGCAAACACCTTCTTCCTGGCTGCTTCCACCTGAAAACTGAACTGTTGGTCAAAAATTACCTCAAGGTTTCTGACAGTTTCAGAGTAAGAGATAACAGAACCGTCGAAACTGATAGAAGGTAACTCACTAAAGTCAATCCGGGACGCGAAATGACGACTGCCTATTACTAAAGTTTGAGTTTTAAATGGATTAACTATTAGACCGTATGATTTACTCCGGTACTGATAAGTGACAGATTAGAATTAGTAACCAAAACAGCCCTCGAGAGGCTAGTTAACGGTGCCTGAGTATAGATCTGGAGATCATCAGCGTAAAGGTCATAGGAACATGAAAGCGACTGTGTGATGGAATTTATAAAAATAGAAAAAAACAGAGTAGATAAGACGCCACCCTGAGGCACACCGGCATCAATATCAAACCACGCAGACACTGTATCGTCAACACGAATACGTTGCCAGCGCCCTAGCAGGTAACTTCGAAACCAATCAATTGCAGCCGGAGATATATTAAGAGAAGTCATGACACCGACAAAGAACAAATTGATTTTGATCTTTGTCGGTGTCATGATCATGGTCTTTATCGGAGCATGAGTTGTTTGTTTTCATACCCCATCGAATATCATCAGTAATCTTAACCAGCGCAGTAGTAGTGCCATGGCCCGAATTGAAACCAGACTGAAAAGGATTGAGGATTTGGTTGGAAGTAAGGAAGTTTTTATTATTATTAATGTATAACAATAAAATAAATTCAATTTCTTTCATTTATTACAAACATTATGGACATTTTACGTTATTCACATTACATTTAAATCGCGTGGAGATTTTCAGAAAGAAAGCTTTTTTAACTATATTCCCCTATTTCACTCAAATTTTGTGTACACACACATTATATAAGTATGGTGTTAAAGGTATTAGTAGTCTAACAACAAAATACAATATACAACCTACTTAATACAAATTAGAAAGTTAATACTAATGTTGTCAACCCATTCAGAAGCGAGTCTGTCATTGCGTGGCAATCGGTGGCAAGCGTTCCCCAAAGCTTTTCTTTATGGGACCTCGCTTTGGGTCCAGCACTCTCTCGTCGTTATTTCGCGAAATGTGCCTGGAATAAATATCTAGTGTTATCATATCAATCTGACAATTTAGTGTAGGTAACCCTATAGGACTAGGGAATGCAATCTCGTAGACATAATTTTCTTTCATTGATAATAATCTCAATTTAATAGTCAATTCAACTAATCAATGAATTTTATTTTATTTTTCGTGTATTTGTTACAAAATACTTATAATTAAACTTTTGTTTGATATTAGCAGAGAAGACTGGTTGTTTATTTCATTTCGTATTTGATTAGATATGTCAAAGTTTAGTTTCTTAACATATTAGTGGATGACTAAGCTTTACTTGGCACTTTTATAAAATAAAATAAAAAAACTAACATAATTAAATCGATTTATCGCCTCTGAAAGCCCAGCATACTTAATGTAATGAAAATTGTTGGAGCCGTTTCCGACAATTTAATACAGTAATTTCTCTTTTGAAGGTTTTACATAAAAAAAAATATAATCGCGTCAAACAATGTTAAATATAACACTTTATTTGAAAATATTCGTAAAAATAAATGTTCATTTCATAATACTTATAATTCCTATATTTTTTCCAAATTTATTCAAATATTATGATTTGAATAAATATAACAGTAAAACAGTAAACACACAAAAGTGCCAAATCTCGTGGTATTGATATTCATAAACTAGCGAGATCTCGCTAGAGTCCCAATCTCGCGAGATTGCATTCCCTATAAGGGACTGTCGATTCATTTCAGGATCGTAGAGTAATTAAAACCGTGTTATTATTCTAAGGTTTGAGACTTTCTGTGTATAATATTCATCAGGGATACGACCGCCTTAAATCTAACCATAACATCCTTATATAAATACCATATCACTTTGAACATACTGCTCACGCTTTGCTAAACATTGTAACAAATTTATCAAGCCACACTACAATCAACTTTAAAATTTCTTTACCTTGATGTACGCACAAAACCGACTAAAATGATGGCAAACAACAAATATTGATTCAAACTTTGCACACATTCGCAAATGCTTGCATGCCACACTAACGGCCGGTTTCTGAATTGAGAAAAGTACAAAATCTCAACTGATTATTGTCAATAACTTAAGTTTTTTACGTTTCATATGGCAAAAAGTCTTTGTAGGTATTGTGTATTTGAGCACATGTCTGGCGCAAGCTTTAGAGGTTTGAACCTCTCGTAACCAAAGTACTTACTGCCAGTATGGACCGTTTATCTGCAATCTTAATATGTTATTCTGACAAATCATAAGCTCATTCTGCAGATATGTTCTTTGGTCATTCACGCGGACGAATAACTGAAAATAAATTTTATTCAATATAACTACTTATTTTAAATAAAAATATTAATTTCATATCGCACACCTAGATCTAAACTGAGACAACTCAAAAATTTAAGTGAGTTTTGACTTAGTACAATATTCAAATACTCGGTGATCATACGCATCTATCCAACATAACAGATTCAATAAAGGTTCGGGGATGAGCCGCTAGATAACTTTAGCTTTCTTTTGCGGAATCAACAGTGGTCGCGTTCCTGCCACGTAAACAAATGTATTGTCAAACCTCCAAATTAGCTTTTTGAGTTGTCTTAGTTTAGATCTAGGTGTGCGATATATTAATTATTATTAATGCTAATATCAATCTTACCTTTGATTCCGAATCCAAGCGCCATTCTTTGCTTCGGAGAGTACTTATCAAGTCTGTCTTCAATCTCTCAAACCTTTTTACAGTGCGTAGTAATTCAGCCTGTATAAAAAGGAAGAAAATATAAATTTATTTTTAGATGTACAATACCAAAAATTAATTACATAAAACTTCTCTAGCGAACTTACCGGTGTCAGGATGTCTAGATTTATGTTAAGATCATCATGTTTGAGCCTGCAATCTAAAAAGGCAGACTGTGACTAAGGTATAGGAATTTTGGATTAAACATTTTAAATCGAAGCGTGTGTGGTAATAGATCTCCGTAGCGTTGTTTTTCACTTGCGCAGGCAACCGGAGCTTTTAATTCTTTTAAGTGACTATAAACCACGTTATTCCACACTGAATATTAACTTCCGTAGGCAAGATCGTGCATAGATCGCGGCGTGTATACCACAGAAATATTTCTGTGATGTATACCGTATGTAAGTTACATTTACCACACTATCTTTTTTTTTTATTTGTTTTGAATTTGATATATTATATCTAGGTGATTAGTGACCCAAACCTTATTTTACGAACCTGGCCCGCATACTCTCGCGTTTTTAATTTTCTCTTTTAAAAGTGGAAGTTGCTCTTTTAATTCATCTATTGATTCGAGCAATAGCTTATGCTTATTGCTTTCTTTTATTAGATCATTGTCTCCTTCCCAGTGATAGTCTCCTTTACGAAGCTCCTCCTGTATAGATACTATCTGTTTTTCCATATCTCCATTCTGCCACGCAGCTGTATCTCTATAAATCAAAATAAAAAAGAATACCCAGCCAGAGTGTATAAAACTTAAATAAATCAAATCAAGAAGCGTTTATCGAATGCATGGCAATAACAAAAACAAAAAAGGAAGTGTGTGTGTGTGTGTGTTTTGGGTAGGACAGACACCTGACAACAACATATATTAAAAGTTTAAGTTAAACTTATACTAATACGTATTTTTTTAATGAGTTTAATTTTAATATGAATGAAAACAATGAAGAAGCATATAAAAAAAATTGAATCACTAAAAAAGCACCTCCACTAGATGGTGACTCTAGTAAAAGTTGATTTTTGCAGGAAACGAGTGGACCATAGATAGTCATTTCCGTTCCTTTTAAATAACATATCAAAAAACTGAAATTTGCAAAGTTCGAAACTTAACTATCAATTCAAATACAAAAAGAATATAAGTTGTTTATTGAGTTTGAAAATTATTTTACTTTTATACATGAAAGAAAACCGGAAGGGTTGTCATGGGGAAATCAAGAAAGTATCGTAGCGACATCTAGTTTGATTTTGGGCACCAATGTTTTTTTTATACTTCCTTATTCAGTATCTTATATCTGTGAATGAGGCTAATATTCATGTGAATATCTGTTATTATATCGTAAAAACTAAGTATTCATCATTAATTCATTATAATGAACTATAATTAAAAAGTATATACATTTTTTACAGAAATCTTGAGAAAAGTGCCTGCCAACAGATCACTCGGCACCTTTTCCGAGCGTCGAAAAGTCTCGACATATAAGCCACTGGACGCGTTTTAATGGCCGACACTCGAACGAAAGTATAAAGAAGCTTTTATTTTAAATTCAGCATGTATTTCTTTCGATAGCGCGAGAGAAATACCGAAATATTATTCTAATAGCTATGAACATAGAAAATGGTACCAAAATTCAAATTACATTTTCAATTCATAAAATTATATCAATGAGCATAGCTAAAAAATACTATTATTTATATTTTGCATTCACAATACTATACCGAAAAATATTAATTTTATTTCATATGACCCTATTAATTTAACTTACTCACCTACAAGCCTTTTCATGCTCTAATTCACTTTTCAGGCATTCAATTTCACTGTCGTTCATTGCGGTGTCTATTTCTGTACTGAATTAGAATTCCACTTATTTCATCCGAAATGTTAGATTAGACCTTGCTTATCCTTGGGTAAGATATTGATCAAACTTGTTCATGGTTGACAAGCAATTCTAACAAGAAGAAGAAGAACAAAACTTTACTTGTTGCCATGAAATTGAATCTAATCGATTGATGAAAATAAAATATAATAGGAATTATACAAAAACATAAATTTACGAATTAACACAAGATAATTATGATTTTTAATATTACTTTTTTAAATTAATTTTACATGAAATTAAGTTTCAGATTATATTTAAATTTGTTGAAACCTAAGATAAGCTTATTGACCTACAAGAACTAGCTAGTATGTTGTTAATCTATGACAAGAACCATTCAAGAAAGATTCAAAACTAGGAAAAAGTACCTAGTGAGCTTTGGCAGTAGCTGACAGCTGTCAAGTGTCAATCAATTTCAAATTCAAAAGTTTACAGTTTAAGTTGCGATTGCTTTTTTGTATAGAATAGTAAATGGGTTTTAATTATCCGCAAAAGTTTTTATAAAACGATCATAATATTTCTTTCTCCTCATAAAAGATGAGTTTACTTAGTACCGTGTTGCAAGAGGCTGATAAAGCTAGTTCAGAACAACGACAGAAACTTTGTGACCAGTTACTGCCGAGGATAAAAGAACTCGATGAACGAATTCAGCTAATTACATTTGATTTACAGCAGAATTTTATTGACCTGTATGTTCATTTCACTCCTACAAAAAGTTTGGAACAGCTAAATTATATTAACAGGAAAGGTAACATTTTAACAGATTATGAAAAGTTATTACAAGAATTTGAAATTTTACATGAAAACTGCAAGAGGAAAGATGAAGAAATAATCAAACACCAAGATAAACTCAATGAATCAATGAAAAGCTTCAAAGAATCTTGCATTTTAGTTGAAGCTAAAAGAATTCTAGAGAAAGCAGAACATGAATCCAGAAGAACTAATTACAGTGAAGCTATAATGTCCACTAAAAGGCTTCAGGACCAATTAAAATCTTTGAAATTTGGTGACAAACTCATGAAAGGTTTGTCTAATCTTAAAGCTCAGACTCAAAACCAATTATCTATTTACATTGCCTTGGTGAATATTGAATGGGAAGAAATTTTCAAATGGACTGAAAGAAAAAGTGTATTCTACCTTACATATTGTTTATCAGTTCAACAAAGTGACCCATTGCTTATACAGAAGGTACTGAAAACAATGTATAATGCAGGTATTATGAATGCTGAACTAGGACAGTTTTCTCATTTTTTTATTGATAAACTATTACATAATGTAATAAGATACAACTGTGATATATATACTGAAGATAATCTTGGTGCTTTGGAGTTCAATATTAAAATAAATATGAATGATGGAAAGAAACCTAACTATCAAACAATTTTTACTAATCTCACAGCAGTATTTGAGTTTCTTGAAACAACTCTCGGCTCACAATTTGAATGTGATAAAAAGTTTATTGAAGTATTTGCAAGTTCAGTACGAGAAAAGTTTTTCAATAAAATAATTGATGAGTGTATTAAATATAATTTACCTTCTTGCGAAAGTACTTATGAAAGTTATAAAAATATAGTCCTTGAATTAGACTGTTTTAACAAATTTTTAATAGATATTAGGTTTGTTGATGCAGAGAGGTCTCCGCTTAATGAATATATTGATGACACTGACTGTGTGTTATATAGGAAAAAATGTAACAAATTATTAATGCAAGTGCGCTCTCTTTTATCTGAAAGTCTCTTAAATGCTAAAGAAATAGTTGGTATTGCACAGAATGAAGACAATGACTCTATTCTAGATGTGACTGAGAAAGAATTTATTTGGGACTTAAATAGACCTTTATTTCTTCCTCAATGTGAGATTTCTCAAAGTGTTAAGAAAATTATGGGATTAATTGTAAATTATTTGGAAGAGAGTTCAAAATTACCAGAGAAATATCAAAACAGACTTGTTTTAAGTATCAGGGATATAGCTGTTATGTATCAGACATTGGTTCCAACAAAGTTCAAGACTGAATTAGAGAGTTGTCCATGGGCAATAGGTAAGAAAGTGCTTTAAGGTTATAGATTAATTGCTATTCGCTAGAATTAATCTAAAAACCGACTGGATCACCAATACACATTGGTGTGTATATATTTCAAATAGTATAATAACTATTTCTTTTTTCATATTTCAATCAGTAGAACAACCTAAGAAAAGTCATCACTTGATACACACACAAACTATTTCTTGTTTTCTTAATATTACATAGATTTAATAATATAGTCCATAATCCATTTTTAAAAATACTTTTTAATAATTTAAGAACATTGTTTATTCCACAGCATTATTTTTCAACAACTGCTTCTACTTAGCACATGGTTTAATAGGGCCTCCTTGGAAGCTTACCTTGCCTACCAACTTAGCTGATATGCTAATGACTGTGCTACTTGATTGTATTCAGGATTTAAGAGTGATTGGACTTGAAAAGATGTCTTTGTTCTTAGAAAAAAAGAAGAAAATGATCGTTGAAAGTGTTTTAGAAAGTAATGGTAAATATTTTGATAATATAACACTTAGAACGAAATTTCATTGTATTAATCTCTAAGAGTTGTGAAAGGTGTGTTTTTTTTTACTTTTTATTTGATTTAAACACAAACACATACAGTATGAACTTAGTATCATTAGAAGACAATAATTACATACTTATGTAAACATAGTTATGAATGGAAATGTTCAGTTTGTATTGATAAATTAAAATAGAATGTGATAGCAGCTGTAACAGAATTGCAGAATGAAGATTTAATTTTTAATATCATTTCTTTCAAAATTTTTACAGATCAAGATGGAGATGGTCCTTGGTCCATGAATAATTTTGAAAAATTCGATAGGGCGGTGAACAACGCCCTGAGTTTCTTATGCGAACTTAGCGGTTACTGGCATAAAAGATTACCCACTCGTATGTATGATATGGCCCTAAGTACCCTCATTCAGGGTCTATGCGAGTCTGTTATAAGTAGAGTTTTTGAAGGGCACTCCATTAGCGAACCTATTGCTTATATGCTAGTGCAACATTTAATTAACATACATACAAATGTCTGCAGTTACTTTATGGTAAGTGTAATGATAAAAATTGGTAAGCGAGTTATATTTCATAATTATTACTAAAATAAGAAAATAAAGGATCTCAACTAGTATTCAAACAGTGTTATTTGACATGCAGGGGCAGACGTTATTAACTGACAGTACACATAAACTTTCAGTTGTATATGCAATATGACTTGATGTTTTCTTTCTATATTCAAAATACCAGTAGAAGAATTTCTGATTCAAGTGTTACCTATTTTATAGCACCATACATAATACACATAGTTTACAAGTAGTTTTACACGTATAGAACATTTTTAAAGAGGGGTGTATATACAAAATTGGTCAAATATAAACGAATTGGCGACTTGTTTGGGGAAATTAATTTAAAACATTCATATGCTTTTATTATACCACTATCAAATTTAATTTCTTCCCAAAAAGTGTTTTTAAGTACGATAAACATATTTTAATATATTCATTTCAATTGTGCCAAGACATTTTGAGTTGTGACGTTTCTTTTCAAAAACATGGTGCTCAGGTGACGTGACGTCACATGCTCCATTATGTGCGTCCGAGTTTTGGTTCTTTTAATCCACAGATTATAAATCGCAAGTTAATTGTGCAAAAATAAAATATACTATTATACCTATTTGATAAATTTTTGCATTCACAATGCTATATACATATCGAATCATAATTATTTATTCAGTCTAGGCTGTTACATAACTATACCAACGGTTCGCAAAACTACGGCGAGAGACTTTGTACTGAATAAGAACCGGCAAGAAACTTCGCAAGGGCTGAATTTTTCTCCCTTTATTTCACGAAGACATTTTTCGGTTACTGATTAATATGCCGGTTGCCGAGTTAAACATAGTCAAAGTCAAAGTCAAAGTCAAAATAATCTTTATTCAAATAGACTTCTTAAAAGTACTTTTGAATCGTCCAACATTTTTTCCCTACCACTCGTTCAGGACGTCTTTTGGCTGATAAGAAGAACGAGCAAGAAACTCACCAGCTCTAATATGAGTAATGACATTTACAAAAACCATGTCATTACCAGATCAATACATTATAAACAGAGATAAAAAAAAACTATGGTCTTATAATAATAACATAATCATTTAATAATAATGGAAACAAGATAATGAGTTTAGAAGTAATCACCTATCCAGTTGCTGGATCATCTCAAGTCCAAGCGTTCTTATCTGTTACATAATCGGATACCTTATAATAAGCTTTTTTAATAAGTATTTTTTTAATAGTAGATTTAAACTGCATGATATCTAATTGTTGTATTTTGCTTGGGACCTTATTGTAGAAGCGCACACAAAGACCCTTGAAAGAGTTATTAACTTTTTGCAGTCTAGTGACAGGCACCGTTAATTTATTTTTATTTCTTGTATTAAAATTGTGTACATCACTTTTAATAGAAAACAAACTAATATTTTTACGAACGTACATTAAGTTCTCGTATATGTATTGAGAAGCAACAGTCATAATGTCTATTTCCTTAAATTTCTCCCTTAAAGAGTCCCTAATCCTAAGATTATAAATTGATCGAATTGCTCTTTTCTGAAGCACAAAAATTGTTTGTATGTCGGCAGCATTTCCCCACAATAGGATACCGTATGACATAACACTATGAAAGTAACTGAAGTATACTAATCTGGCAGTATCTATGTCAGTTAACCTACGTATCTTCATTACGGCATATGCTGCAGAGCTAAGTCTACTCGACAATCTATCAATATGTGGGCCCCACTGTAGTTTAGAATCTAATGTTATTCCTAAAAATACTGTGGTATCCACAAGGCCCATGTTCTTATCTTTTACATTAACATTTATATCTACTTTTTTAACATTAGGTAGTACAAATTTTAAGCATTTTGTTTTTCCTTCATTAAGGAGAAGATTATTTACATTAAACCAATGTACTACTTTAGCGATAGAATTGTTCACATCGTCATTTAGAGGTAACCCTCTTTTAATTTTAAACAAGAGTGAAGTGTCATCCGCAAACAAAACTATTTCGTGATCATCCCTTACGAAATAAGGCAAGTCATTTATGTAAATCAAAAACAAGAAAGGACCAAGTATTGAGCCCTGCGGAACGCCCATCTTAATTTTCGATCCAGGGGATCTTTTGCCATTGATATCAACCCTCTGTACTCTGTCAGTCAAGTATGAGACAATAAAATCCAATGAGTTATCTCTAAATCCATAAAAATGCAGTTTCCTAATCAATGTTTCATGAAAAACACAATCAAATGCCTTAGATAGGTCACAGAAAACACCTAACGCATCATGTGAATCCTCCCAGGCATTAAAAATTTCTTGTATTAACTCGACACCGGCTTCGGTTGTCGAGCGACCCCTTGTAAAACCAAATTGTTGTCGATTCATAAGCTTATTCTTGTAAAAGTACGTTTGTATTTGATCCAGCATGATTTTTTCAAAAATCTTACTAAACGTAGGTAGCACGGATATAGGTCTAAAGTTAGTAGGGTCAGATGTGCTACCCGATTTATGTAAAGGAATAATTTTACTATATTTCATGAGCTCAGGAAAAATACCACAATCAGTACATTCATTAAATATATAAGCTAAGATTGGAGCTATTGTCTCAATTACCGATTTAGAAACTTCAATGGAATTACCCCATAAATCAGCAGTTTTCGTTTTCTTTAGCTGATTAAAAGATTTTATTATATCTTTAAAATCAATGTGTTGAAACTTAAATTGGCTATTAGAATTATTTAAACTTGCCTTTAAAATAGATTCAGCAACAGTGGAAGAGGAATTCAAAGATTGTGTAATTAAGACTGGAATTTCAGTAAATAAATTTTCAAATACTGTAGCAACTTCAAGATCTGATGTTACTTTTTTATTATCAATGTTTAAATTAAAATTTATATTCCGGGATTTTTCTCTTCCAGTTTCACTATTTATGATATTCCACGTCATTTTAACTTTGTCTTTACTATTTTCAATTTTTGCATTTAAATAATTACATTTGGCTAAACGACACACTTTTTTAAATAATTTAGAGTAATTTCGTACATATTCTTTGAAGTCCTCACTTGTGTTGTAATTACGTTCATCATATAGTTCATAGAGCCTTTTTCTGCTTTTGTAGATTCCTGGTGTAGCCCACACACTAAAAGTTATAGGATTACTAATACTTATTTTTTTTGGGACAAAAATCTTATTGAATTCTGTACAATAAACATCAAAGAAATCTTTGTACAAATCATTGGGATTACTATTATGTTTCAAATGATACAATTTACTATCTAATTGATTTTTAAAACGTTCCAAGCGACTCATACTTTTTGACACAACTGTAATGTCTCTCCTAGCCACAAACGTACATTTATGCGGAAAGCTAACTAGTTGTCCAAAATGATCTGACGGTAGTTGTTTAATTATCTGTCTTGAAAGTGGTACTAGATCTGTAAAAATGTTGTCAATACATGTGGACGAAGTAGCAGTTACTCTAGTAGGCTCCTTAAACATGTGCGCAAGATTATAGGACATAAATAGATTTACAAGTCTTGTACATGAATTGGAGTTTCCTAATAAATCAACGTTAAAATCACCCCCAATCACTAATCGTTTGCCTTTGCTATATACCTTTTTTAATGCTTCATCCATAACAGTTTCAAAGAGATCATAATGAGAAACTAAACTTGAAGGAGGTCTATATACGCTCAGTACAATCAGCTGGTCCAGCTCTATACAGGCAATCTCTATTATTTCCTCAACCGATAGGCTCACTATATCTCTACGTTCTTTAAATTTAAACTTTTTATTTAATAAAATTAGTGCGCCACCACGCATTGCGTTTTTCCTAATGAACGCGCTACCAACCAGGTGATTATTGAAGTTAAAAATGCAATTATAACTTGTTAACCAATGTTCCGTAATACAGAAAAAAACCACATTGTTACAGTTCATGAATAATTCCACTTCTAACTCTTTACTCAACATTCCTTGAACATTACTGACATACTCATTGACAAATCAATATACAGTATTCATTATAAAAGAAAATGGACGAAATTAAGTATTCTAGAGCACACTCATCCTCACTGGCAGCATCCGTTCACAAGCATGACGCCAGAGCCAGTCATTATTTTAGGGAACTTAACGACGCACACGATACCACAGCAGAGATTTTTAAGAGAGCATGCCTACTCTAGGACTTATGTGGTGGATTAAGGAAGTCAGTTTTAAAACATCAATCAATGGCCGCAGGACACGGCATAAAATACGCAATGATATGATTATATCAGGTTAAAATATCTAACACCATGCCTTTTTGTTATTTATATATATTCTTTATAGGTATAATATCTTTCACTTTGTAGACAATTTTAATACGACTTTTAAAATGATAAGCAAATCTAACATATCACTGATGATCTTGTTAAAGTACTGCGTGTATTGACCCATGAACAAACCTACTTAATATCTTCTGTAACCTATAAAAAGGCATTACTTTTATTTCTAGTGTTAAATTTGTGCACGTGCTAAGTATACATATTAATATTGTTCCGGACAAAAGTATATGTATAATTATATATAAACTCAGATGCAACAGTCAATATTCCGATTTCTTTATTTTTGTCTCTGAGAGATGTTCGTGAGCCTAATTGATAGATAGCTCTTTTTTTGTAAAACAAATATAGACTCAAAATCGGCTGCCGTTCTCCACAACATAATACCACAGGACATAATACTGTATAAATAACTAAAGCACACTATCCGGGCAAATTATATTTCGGGTATTTATCTTATTTTTCGTATGGCATATGTAGCCGAACTGACTTTACCAGCTAATATAGAAATGTACGGGATTCATTTCAGTTTTGAGTCTAGTGTTATGCCCAAAAATATTTGTTGAACCTACTCTAAATGTTCTACTTTTCATTAGATGAAGTGAATTTTGTACATTTGTTTATTTTTAGCATTCAAATTAAGGTTATTAACTATAATATAAGACAACTTGTGAGAAAGTATTGTTTACTTCGTCGAAATTATACTTATTTCTGTCAATGTTTAATATCAATGAAGTGCCATCTACAAACAGCACAATACACTTAAGTTTTTAACAAAAGATGGTAAATCATTGACATATATTAAAAATAGAAATGGCCCATTTCTATTTTTACATGAGACCCCGACGACTTCGCACCATATATATCTACTGTTTGTGTTCTTGAACTAAGGTACAACAAGATTTTTGAGCAGCACCTTTAATACCGCAGTACCTTTAGGATGATTAGTGTTTTATTTATTTGTTAGTTTGAATATAAAAAATGTTATCCAAATGACCCTTGTAATTTGTTAAAAATTTATTTTATCATTAAAATTAATTTTAACTGACTCTTTCCCGCGATTTTATTAGATAGACTACTACCAATTTGCCCCCACGAATGACGAGGTGGTGAGGCGTGTTATTTGACGTGAAACAGACTACAAAAAGAAAAATTTTGTTTATTATAAAAATATAAATCACTGTTATTATTAGTAAAAGAATTCGACGTATATATAATCTTAAAACGCACTGTTTAACTACACACGATTTTTTTTTATCTAAGTGTTGTCCGATCCTCTATTGTTATAGTACTTATATTATTTTCAACGTATATTAATTTTCAGTCACCGAATGAAAATGTCGTGAGTAAAATCAGTGCTTGGGTGAAGTTCAACAAACTGCGTGTGTTGATGAACGGCCAGCTGCAAGAGTTATCTGAACTGTGGCTCCGTGACAAGGAGGTGCAGGAGCATTACACGTGCGAGGAGGTGCGGCATATAGTCAGGATGCGTTACCCGGACACACCGTACAGGCTCAAGATACTTCAAGAAATACAATAAAGATTTCAAGGGTCGGTGCAAATGTGATGGAAGATATGTCTCAATGAAGTATGAGATAGTATGTTTGGTTGCCTATACTCAATTAGTATAGATTAGTTAGCATTACTAATATTATAAAGAGGATAGATTTGATTGTTTGTTTGCATGGAATAGGTTCCGGAATTACTGTATCTATTTAAAAATTTCTTTCAGTTGTTATGTGTATTGAAATATGTTATCGTAAATTACATATTTCAATACACATAGCTTAACAACAAAGATCTGGGGCCGCGGCGCTTATCCTCTACGGCATCGAGCTATTATTTATTTAGCAATAAATAAGAATTATTAAAAAAAAAGTGACCTAATTTTTTGTGCAACAGTATATTTGTGGCGATGGGACGCATCTTCCCTCACATGTGCACTAGTTTCATAGGCTCATTACATTGGTCGGTAGGCCCGATGGGGAATGGGGCGATTTCTGTAATATATGCCATAGAGCCAGCATCAGGGGAGTAAGATTCACTAGCAACTGCACTATAGAATTTCTTTATTTGAGAATTTCTTAGTCTTAGAGGTGAAAACTGGAGATTTTACCAATTTATTAACCAATAAAATGGAGATTATTGATAGGTGTTTTATCAATAACACTATAAATTTGAAGCTCAGTTACAATAATCGACGGACTCAGCACACGAAGCGTGGGCGACCTTTGAGCGTTCTTCTCATTGGTCAATAAATTGAAAGTGAGCCACAGAAATCAGTGTAACCGAGTAATTATTATTTATAGTAACTTACGTATATGCAATGTTATAGTTATATAAATATTTATATTCTTATAACACTATTCTAATATTTAAGTTTAAGTGGCAATTTTGTTTATTAAAAAATATTTATATAAAATAAAAGCGTATTTTTTTAGAAATGTATTTTTTTCTAAAATAACTGTGTCTGGCATGTAGGCTGGTTGTAATAATTGCAAGTAGGTGTTGCGTAGATCGATTCTTTATAATAGCTCTATTTATTCCTACATTATTTTTTTAAAATGATCGTTTTTTTTTCTATATTCGTCATAGCTGTAATTTTGAACAATGGCGTCATAGATCAATTTCTGCATTGTTGCGTTTTACTTTTTTTTTGATAAATCACGTTTTATTTATATTCAAATTTTGTAAAAAAAAGAAATACTAAAATTATAAAGACTTCTTAACTGTATAATATTTTATAATAGGCTTTGAATCAGTTCTCTGTACAACTTCCACTTAGATCGGGCCCTGTGAATGGGGGTCAGATTAATTGGTCAATGGATAGAGAAGTAAGTGATCACGTAGAACAAATTAAGCTAGAATTATTGAATATATTTATTTTCTAACGCGTAGACTAGACATTTTTATTTTACATAGGATTACATAAATTCTAATTATAAAATTACTTAAAACATCAAACCATTTAATTAAACAACAGTATTACGTATTTATTACATACGTTTTAAAAGCGATTATAAAATGAAATAATCGCATACATATATTACTTATTTAATAATTATTTATGTATAAGGTAAAACATTACTGGCAAGTGGACATCCCAATGAATATATGAAAGATGTTCTTGATCGTAATACTACCGAATGCGATCATGTTGTTGAATCGCCGAACTAATTCAGCACCTATAGGCAACTTAGGTTTAGGCGCTTCGCTTACATTGCCGACTGCCATTTCTGTCGAGTTGAAGAATGTGTACATATAATATGCGTAGGATTCGCCGATGTTGATGACCTTGTGGAAAGTTCCAGATTTTATCTTGACGCTTTCCCCTGTTTCGAGTTTAATTGATTGACCGTTGAAAAGTTCAGTCATCTCTGGCTCGTAAGCTACAATACCTTCTAATACACTGAGCGTGACATTATGAAGTTCTTTGGGTATGAATTTCTCTTGGTTATAACCTGAAAATAACAGAAAAAGTATTGTAGAGATAATTTTGTCTGCTTTAATTTAGGGTTGAGTTACACACGCTAATTTATAATTTAATAATTCCAAAGTATCCTAGGTACTTCAATAAATAATCAACTCACCAGGAAAATCAGCATAAAAGGATACGTCGCTATAGTTATTCCAAACGTGTATTTCTTCTCTGATCTTATCTAAAACAGTACGCCAATTCAAAGCTTCATCTAAAACAGGCATCAGATATGAAACAGGCTCGAATGGGGACCATTTTGCTTTCAACATGTCCACTTTTGGATCGAACATGCGTTGGGCAAATCTACCATTCATTGAGCACCAAACGTCTACGTAAATCGAGATATTTTCAGATATTCGACCGTCAGTTTTCTTTCTCGATTGCACAATGTTGTTTCTCAAACAGTGTGCGTATTGGTAGATCATGTCTCCGTGTCTACTCCATCTCTCGTTGGGCGCGAACAAGTGAGGGTCGATGTAGAACTCGTGGTTTTTTTCATTGTCGACGATTTTGATGACGATAGAATGTGGCTCCCAGGTATGCACCATCATGTCCCAGGAGTAGCCATAAAGACCATTGGTCCAATTGTTATAACCCTATAATATGAAAAGGAAGAGATTAAATAGTGCGCATACTACAGCGCAACCAAACATTTGTATATCAAAGACATCAAATAGTTGTAGTTGGTAGACATTTTTCGAGAATAGGCTTGTGTCCTGAAACCTGTATTTTCACTTGTAATACAAGTTTCTGTTATTATGAACCTTTTTAACTAATAAATATTTAACAAAATAAATTTGCCAAATGAGCCAATATTACGCTTTGAAAATTGTAACGCCACTCTGTGCCTTGAATTTGTAGGAAGCGTTTCCGGCCGACTAGCAGCAGTTCCACAAACAGTACCTTATCTCCGAAACTATAAATCGCAGACATGCTGTAACTTCTACATTATTTTTCGGATATTAATAAACTATTTATTTAAACAATAAAAAAGTTGTCAACTAGTCTATTGTTTGAGACATTATAAAAAAATAATTCAATAAATTGTAATATCTGAACACTAAAATGCAGACCGGGCAGGGATATATAAAAATGGTTGTGACTTGAAGCTGTAGGGATATTAGAACGGTGATATACTTATCAATATTATAATCTCTCTTTAATGCAAAATAGAGGTAAATATACAACAACCTTACAAAGTAGACGGCCTTATCGCATAATTTTGTTTGTTTGTTTATTTTGTTTTCATTATCATCGGAAAATTTACACCTAGGTAATACTATGCATGGAATATTTATTTTATCCATAAAGAAGGCCAATTACAAGTTTACACTTATAGGTAATTAGTTTTCGCCAACGGCTTCGCCCGCGTGGTCGAGAAACAAACTAATATTTCCTTATGGCTCGAGAAAAAACGAATATCGCCTTCTCCTATACAACCTTTCTTTTTACACTACCTCTGCCGCCTGGCAAGCGACAGCGTGTGTCGGACTCTGCTACGTGAACCCAGCCCGTGACTATCACCCGGTTTCTGAATTGAGAATTTGAAGTTGAGCACGTCTCAAACTGTGCTTAAGCCATTAGAAACATCAATTAAACAGGTTTTCAATACTGATTTATAACTTTTTAATAATCAGTTGATAGCAATTTGATAAAATTAGGACTTTTTGCCTTTCATAAGGTAAAAAAACTTTAGTTATTGAGAATAATCAGTTGAGGTTTTGTGCTTTTCTCAATTCAGAAACCGGCCATTAGTCAGACAACCTAGCAATGTACGAAGTAACATAAGATAACCAACAGATAGTGCATATGACTAGAACACAAAACCTTACCTTGGTAATGAAATGTGAAAATGGTAGAAACGCTTGGGTGACAATATGAAACATTATCATGAGCACTGTAAAATTTTTCACCGAATCTGAATTTTTCGACTGCTGTTGTTCTTGATCAGTTTCATCATCCTTTTGATCGCAATTACATTCTTTACCGTCTAAAAATGCTTGAACAAGATCTTTATTATTCTCCCCACTTTTATGGATGTTGTCCTCATTTTTCTCCGTATCTTTTCTCGTAGTCTCTTTCATTGAATCATTGCTTATGTTTTCTTCTAGTAATTCATCTGAACACGAACATTCGTCGTAAGCATTCAAATCATAACTATCCATTTTACATTTAAATTGTGTTGTATAAGGTGATATATTACAACATAATTTACTTTTTATATACCGTATATGTGTATTTACGAATTGCAATGTTAGTTTTGGCCAATCGAATGGGTAGAACAATGGCATCGTAGCTAGACATACCCAAGGGAACATACCTGAAAATAAGTAATTAACTACTTATTTGACCGACAATAACTAAAGTGTGTGAATTGTTGATGCAATTTCTCACATATTCAATTAATGTGATGTGATTTTGTAAAATCAATATTCGGTACAAATATTCGACTATACGTTATTACAGTGTATTAAGGTATTATGGAGTTTTAGTATGATTGTTAGAAAAACTATATAGAAAATAAGAACAAAAACTTTTTGATTCTATGCATTATTATCAAAAGATAAGAGTAAGAAACTTTTTAGCATCCATAGCTACTGAGCGTAGAAAGTTGAAATTTGGAATGAAAATTCCTTAGGGAGTGTAGAGGTTTTTTGAAAATTCCACCCCGAAGGGGCTAAATTAGGGGATGAAAGTTTGTATGAAACTTCGTTACTACAAGTGCTCGGAGTTTCAAATTTTGCATGCGGTTTCTTTTTAGGACGTAGATGCTCATTAAGACGGGTTCTTACGAGATTCGACCCCTAAGGGGATTAATTTGGGGATAAAAGTTTTTATGGAATTTTCTCATTTCTTGACTTAGAACTACGCGGGCGAAGTCGCGGGCAAAAGCTAGTATATTATTAAAAAAATAGAAATACTTATAAAACAGAGTAGAATTATGTATCTAAATTGAAACCCTGTTTGCTGTTTGTGTTAATTTTCAGTTTGACGTTTCGATGTTATTCGACTCTGCGTTAAAATGAATTAAAACTTGAAACTAACACTCATATCTCTACAGTCGGGTAGAAGTAATGATGTAAGCAAATAATTTGAATGAAGTAAGAACTGTTAATAGTTAGAATACCGTTATTATTTACCGTTTTTTCTAAAAGTTGTCTAAGAGAGAATGCTATTAGCATTAATCACTCATTTGTACCATTCATTTACTGATCATAAGTTTATAATATATAAATTATTAGCTGTAAACAGTTGTTAGTTCATTCCGATCCTCATCTATTGGTAAAAAATATTTGCTTATATGACATTGTCTCAAGTAATTAGAAGTAATTACTTATTTAGTTGAGAGTAATCTCGACTATAGGATTCGAGTGTAAGATTGCACTTGCATAAGTGCATAAGTAGTTGCTGCATGCTGCATAAGTGCAGACTGCAGGCAAACCAAAGAAGCAATTTCGAAGGTAGATTTACGGCTAGTAGACCTAGCACGTAAGTTAAACAAATTACCAAGACAAACTTTAAGGCAAATAGTAGGTATACTAACTGGACATGGAAACTTTAAAAAACACCTTTATAACATGGATTACTCTGACAGTCCTCTGTGCAGGGCGTGTATGGAGACTGAGGAGACAAGCGCTCATGTGTTACTGGAGTGCAGTGGCCTATTAAGACAAAAGACTACACATCTAGGTAGCCCAAGGACACTAGTGGAGGCATGCGGCAGAGTTCTAGAACTTATGGGCTTCCTGGAGGAGCTGGGGTGGTAGGACTAATGCAACCCCGTGTTACACAAAATAGGCACAGAGTGTCGAGTTGCGGAAAAGCCCGCCGTGAAACATAACATAACATAACATGACATTGTCTCAAGTAATTAGAAGTAATTACTTATTTAGTTGAGAGTATTCTCGACTATAGGATACGAGTGTAAGATTGCACTTGCATAAGTGCATAAGTAGTTCCTAACTAAATTCAAAAAGTATACTACAAAATTAACGTTATAGAATTATTAAATAGTCTATGGCCAATATAAAAACGAACAAAACTAATGCTTACCAATCCTGAAGAGTCTGCTGTTCATCAAATGGAAGAGAGCACAGAAGATCATGGTGACGTGTCTCGTGCGTCCCCACATCATCCACGCAGCTACAGTGAGGTCGAACGCGAAAATGAACCAGTGTACCACCAGAAAATCTATCTGAGGCACTGTCAGAAATAACCTGTTATTTATTCAAAATTTAATATGGTTCTTTAACGTTCGCACACATTACTCTAGGTGTAGAGTTTATTGTCACAATTTTAAAGATTCTTTAACTAGTGATCTTAAAGCCTAAAAATTCGTTGAAATACTAATTTGCGTTCGAATAAAAAATGAGCACCGACGTTATTCTTATAAGAAAAAATGCCATAACAAAAGTAATAGGAACGCAAAATATGTAAATTTCTTTACTTCGACAGCATATATCTTCCATTTATTTCGATATATAAAAGTGCTGCGTCTAATCAGATAAAAACTTTATGGGTCTACATATAATTTCAGGACCGAATATAATCTTCTCTTTTTTCAAGTCGGTTAAGAGTAATGAGATAAAGTTTTTTTATTCGCAATAATTTGTTCTTAATTACTATAGGTAATTTGTTGTATCGGTTATCCTATCCGGGTGTTTTCCCATTACGTTAGTAAATATTTTTATTTGTTATAATTAACTTTATGGTTTTGGATGTTAAGAATCAATTAAATATTCGGAAGTTGATAAATTAATCGTAGAACTGAAAGGGAATTTTTGTTACCGTTAATGAAATCATAATAACCTAGGTAGTTTATAATCAAATAGATAATATTTCTTGACCTGACTTACACTTCTTGCAACAAAAAAAAATATTTTTCAAATAATTTGCTATCTCTTGGTCATTTATTTTTCTCTTAAATATAGGTACTTTTAAAATAATGCCACCTTCTGACGCGAAGAATCTTTAATGAGCTACCAGAGACTTCATGACCTCAGTACATGATCTGAGCTCATGAACGTACCCCGGGTCTGGACGTGGAGGCTACGAATCCAAACTGGGCCTGTATGATTTTGTCCATAAGGAAGACACGTGCCCCAAACATTGGAATTATTATTTGCTTGATGATGAAAACGAAAAAATGAAGATAAAGGAAGTCACTTTCCAATAAAACTTCTCTGTATAAAATAAGACTGAGAAAGAGCTGTCCTTGTTGAGTTTATTGTCGGGTCTTCTCAGTACAGGATGGCCTGCCATAGATTTGCGAACCGATGGCTTTCACAAATGCTTGTAAAAGTCTAGACTGAGTAAAGGATATTGAATTTGAACGTGTTTGAAATAATATTGAAATTGAAAGTTACCTAAACGGTGTAAACACCCAATGCTCGCTGAGGTTCTGCACAGAGTATCCAGTCAACCATTCGGCGGTACTTTTCTTGAGGCCAGCCATAAAGTAAAGGATGAAAAACTGGTATTTTAAGATAAAATAGTTCCAATAAGGAACTGTGTCTTTCTTCTTTAGCGGGTCAAAGTATGCATCTAATGACCTAAAAATTTTAAAATATAGCTTAGGCTAAATTAAAAGAGCAATCAGTATTTTTTTTATATATATCAACATCATAAACTTTATTAATTTTCTCTTTTTTCTCTATTTTCTCCATTCTTTAAAAATGCTGCACAAAGGCTCACAAAATTCAGTCTAATTTAAATACAGTTAATGCTATTGCGATAGAATTTTACAATTTGACAACCAGTGAGTAAACTATTCGAATGAGGTCAGTTACATTAAATACTTAATTTATGTGTTAGGCCACCTTTTCAATCCACCCTCGTATGATAGAGAAGCGGTCGCACCCAGATTATTGGAGACGGAGATATTTTGAAAACAACACTACGCGCGTTATTATTCATTTTAGAATATATTCTTTTATATATGGTCATGTCATCATGACTTTTACTTTCTTTATTTTATCACCTATATTCAATTGAATGAATTATTTCATAAAATCGAATATTAAATAAATCAATAGTCAAAACAATTACCAATAGCATGCTGCGTCGGTGAAACACAGCAGTAAAGAGACCAGTCCAAACAAATAACTATGGTTGTTCCAGAAGCTCTTCTCTATCAGCAACAAGTACCAGAAGCAAAGCGTGAACAAAGCAGATGATGTAGTATACTTGTATCCTACCATTACGCCTACAGCACCTTTGAAGGAAGGTCATTATTTTTTTTTAACATTGTTTGAAGCCTAATCCATTTAGATGTTACCTATCGGTATACCTAAAGTATTGGCATTCTACTCTAGCTGAGATAGTTATTTGTTTTTAGTAATTTCTCTCACATTATTATTATTAAGATGCTTTGCGAATTCATTTTTTGTTAAAGTGATAATAACTTCTTTAATAATAGCGACATGGTATTCGGTTAAGAGAGTGTCTAAACGAAAAATAAATTCGTAGTTTCTTTTTACCTACATGCCCACTCTTACAATCGTATCTATAGTCGAGACAAGTAATTACTTGAGCAAATGTCATAACTTAAGAAACTTTATAAACAATAGAAGAAAATTTGAACGAAGTAAGGACTGTAAATAGCTAATAATATTAGCATTCTAACTTTTGAGAGTTGTATATTCATTCACATTCTTGTTCATTTGTTAAACATATTTGCTTAAGTTATGACATTTTCTCAAGTAATTACTTTTCTCGACTATAGATACAAGTGTTAAAAGTATTACCCAGTAAATTAAGGACCGCTCTCTAAATTGAAAAAAGTACAAAGTCTCAAAACTGTTACCAACTGATCATAAAAAAAACTAAAATCAGATACGAAAACCTTAACTTTAAATAAGTACTCAATTCGGAAACCGGGTGTATAAGTTTGAAGTTCATTAGAGATTGGTTCCTCGTTAGATAAAGAAATCTACCAATCCACATGGCCGCGTATACGACAGCCATATAAGGCAGCGGCGCTGGGTGCAGAAATGGTAGTAGGGGGAAGTGGCAAGTGGTGATGTCGCCCCAACGCCGCTCCATGACGGCGCCGCCGCGCTCGTCCGGAATGTCGAACAGCATCGCCAGGCCTGCAGAACGTACAGAAGTTGATCATCGTCGTGGTCCAGCCTGTTAATATCCCCCCTGCTGGGCACAGGCCTTCCCTATTGATGAAATCGTATGGAATCGAATAGGGAGAATGGGGCTATGACACACTGGCACACTAACGGGCGCAGGTGCAGCTAGGGCCAACTTCTTAACGTGTCTTCCGAAGCACGGAGGAACTCAATGTATTAATTTTTTAATCACCTACACTATGACCAAATCAAATCAAATAAAAATCATTTATTCAGTCTAGGCTGTTACAAAGCACTCGTGAAATTCGATAACTACGCCAACGGTTCGCATAACTACGGCGGGAGACCTTGTACTGAGAAGAACCGGCTGCTTTTTTCTCCCTGTTTTATTTTACACAGAGAAGTCTTATTGGAAAGTGACTTCATTAGACTATGAAGTCACTTTTCGTTGACCGGCCCTTGTTGCTTAACTTCCGTAGGTTTCGCAGACCGATCGCTCTAAACACTGCGCCATCGAGCTCCTCAAGTACGGTAGAAGTTAGTGCTACGAAATACTTATAAATTTCAATATTTGGCACAATTGGCAAGATAGAAAAACAAAATTACTAGAGTAATTTTTATTGAATCGATTTTACGACAAATCAATTTTCATTATAACTAATATTTGAAAATATATACAAAAATCACGCGCGTTTTTATTACTCGTATTATTTATGTTAGTATTTGTGATGGAACGTGAGCGGAGACACAAGAGGGCCTTAAGCAACTTTCTCAAAAGCCGGTCTAAAAATGGATGGTAAAAACCCAAATTTTTATCACGACCTATTCAGCAGTTTTTGCGAGAAAGAGTAACAATCTTACCTACATCCTTTCAAACTTTCGCATTTATATTATTAGTAGGATTTTTGTATTTACCGAATAATATTCTAGTCACAGCAAGACTCGAAGCGTCCTTGGGTTCATGTAGATATTGTACGACCTTTGAAAATGTAACATCTTGGATTTCAAATCCAAATTGTTCTTTGAATTTGTGTCCAATCTCCTTAAGTACCGTAGTCAGTTTCTTCTTAATCATTTTGTTTTTGTAATATGCGTTTTGTTTCGTTCAATCTAATCACCTGCCTGTATATACAAAAAACTAATTAGTAGTCATGTGTTAGTTTGAAAGGGTTATTCCAGTCTTTGTAAAAGTCCAAAATGATAATCAAATAATTAAGAATCAATTATTTTAATGATCTATATTAAAACATATTGTAAAATTAAATATTTAATTGTTTGTTTCGATTGAGTAGTAGTAGTAGTAGTAGTTTTGTCTTGTTTGGATTGAATAAGCTCCGAAGCTACTGGAGCAATTTTAAAAAACCTTCACCTACGGGATGTACTCATACATCCTAAACGCGTGACATAGGCTAAAATTTACACGAGTGAAGAAGTTGCAGAAAAAAACTAGTGTGTCATAAAGGCACAACGTGATCGCAAGTTACATTGGTAAGTTTTAATTAATTTTCCTTTTAAGTATTTACAAAAACTGTTTTCACAGATTGTTTGTGACTTCATCACGGTCGTCGTGTCTACTACGGTTTGGGAATATTGAAATTAATATTTTTATATTTAAAAACCTCTGCTAAGTAGTTATTGAAAAATAAATATTAATACATATTGTGATTTATTTATTAGCTTAAACTTTTATTGAAATCAGAAACAAATAATTATACAATTTATTTAGATCTTGAGACACGTTTCCGTCGTTTTTATGATAGTAACTTCCCAGATAGTACTCAGGAGGTTGTAAGTAATAACAAAAACTATTTCTAAGTGCTATTGATTTTTTTTAACTCACCATAAGTTTCTTCGTGAGCCGATTCGAGCGTCTCCAACCGTGTCTAGTACTAAACTAAGGTGATGATATTAAAATAATGGTAACAGCTAAATTATTATTCGTGCAGTAACCCGTGAATATGTTGTCAAATTAATTATGGCACACTTCAAACCACATGAATAATTTTGAATAGCTAAGAAGCTTTTCCGTTCGAGCGCACATCGTTATAACAACTTTGACTATTCAGTCAGTACTTTGTTATTTGAAATAAACATAAAATTATTAAATATGGTTTATTTTAAGGGATATACTATTTGCTCCTGGGGTATTATAATAGCAATTGTTTAAAACAGAACAGCGGTTAGGCTGCGTTCAGACGAATAAAAACGCAATAGACAAGGTCGTCCATAGTGATGGAACATATGGAATGGTAGTTACTATAGCTTGGGAGAATTTTATATTGATAGATGTAGGGTTTATTATTGCTTACCGGTGCATCTGATATGCGTCGCTTATATAATAAACCTCTTAAGGCATAAGAAAATAAAATACTATAAGTACCACTTTTTATGCCTTAGTGGATAGATTTTTTCGGTGTTTATAGTATTGGCGGTTCTTTTTTATTTTCTTTTTGCCGTTCATGGTACTTCTTGTAGAGACAAGCCAAGTGCCCCTGGTAAACGTAAAAAAAAAAATTCTCACTGTCGCCGATTGTACTTTACTTTTAGTCCTTTTTAATGGTGTTTGTGATCAATGAACTATACTATACCTATAACCTGGCTGGAAACATCATGACCGCCTTATAGATCAATATATTTCCAGTCGGGGAAGAACCTTGATAAATAGGGTACACCCTCTCCGGCGTTATAGATAATTTTTTTAATAAATTGCTTGTACCGATGGCTAACAAAATTATGGCGAACAAAAAATTTATAGCGAGTTTTTTGTAACCATATTTTATGGTTTTGGCGTTCACCTGAAACTACCATCCAAAACACCAGCCTATTGATATCTCCACTATTAAGGCTCAGACCTTCCCTATGGATGAAATCGAATCGAATAGGGAGAATGGCAATGATCCATCATGTGAACCTTTTGCGGATTAGTGACTATTAACGACTGCAGTTTTAGCCGGGATCAACTTCAGTCTGTATGGAGACAGCAGACGGGTAATTTTTGGTTACCCATCCTATGACCGACCATTTAACAAGTTGCTTAACAAGCGTATCGCAGACCTATCGCGCTTGCCATTGCGCCATCGAGCTCCTGGAAATCTGCTTGCCCCTTTGATATTATTGGCTGGTAACTAAATATAGCAGAAAGCATCTTAATTCGATTACTATAAATTTAAAAATTGATTGCAGAAATTTGCATTTCTCTACTAACATGATGTGCTGTCGCGTGTATACTATAAGCACTTATATCTACTCCTACCCCCATCAACTCTGGCTGATCGTTCCCCTTCAGGGAGTCAGCTGTGTTTCAATCCGATGAGCCGAGCCCCCGGGGTTAACGGCTAACATCTCGATGTCACAATTCATGTAAGGTTCGTTGCCCCTTCAGGGCACGCAACCAACTGTCCAAGGCGGTGTTTAGTCAGTAGGAGTCTGACATAACCACACAGCCGGCTGTGGGGTATCCAATGAAGGATTCACCGCCTCCTTCCCCCGTTGGGAGGGAGGTTCCGAACCCTTAAGGTTGAGACACGAAAAAAAAAGATCTACTCCTAGGTGTACAAAGTATTATTTATTTCAAATATCTCTATTAACTTTTAAGAATCACTCCAATGTTTCAACAATAACCGTTCCAAATCAAACCAAGAGTATGTGCTGAAATATTTATTTCTTCAATTCGTTAATATTCGATACATGTTTAGCTACGAATAAACATTTAATTATTGTCAATTACATATATAATATACTATAGAACTGTCATTTTAACATCTAATCTAAATTGTCAACATTTTATCTATACATAGCAATCATTAATAATCTAAGTGATGGTTTGGTATAAGCTTCTAACAATAATTGACACTGCTTTACTAAAGTGTTATGTTTTGGCCATTACGTTATCAAGGTGTGATAAATTACGAAAGTTTAATTATTACGTATTGACAATATATTAATTATAAAAAAATGTTTATTCGAAAAACTGAATAAATAAAATAATAAATCGACAACTCCATTCGATACATCCGTATACACAATCATATTGCATTTATCATAGACTACATTGTGATTCATTGATTCTCGATACACACACCATACATAAATCAACGTTCAAATAAATAAGTTTCCAAGTGGCGTACTATTGTGATATAAGATGTACGTTACTTTAAAACTCAGTACTTCACGGAAACGATATACATACTTCTATGGATAGCGATATATATCGTTTACTTCCAACATGCGCAATACTTTGGGTTACTGTCCGTTTTTCGCGTGTCTCAAAACAGACGATAGGTACATTAAGCCCCGAAAAAGTATTATACAATCGTTATAAACTTTAAAAATGAATTCATAATTAATTAATATATTTACCACGGATGTCGAACAGTATTGAAGTACCGCAATTTATAACTTATAAACTATACAAGATCAATACTTATATCGAATCTAAAACAATAATACGTAATTGTGAATGTCTCTTCTGTCAGATATTACTGTAATTCTCTAAATAGACAATTTATTTAAATACATATTTATAAATTACAGTAATCGACCTTTCTAGATATGCTTGAAGATATAGATAGATCTTACTAGACTAGTTTTCGAAGAGACGACAGATTAATCAATTCTTGAATTATCCATATATAACTTACACGTAGGAACTTGTTACATAATAGAAAAATTCACATAAAATAATCTCATTTACTGTTATCATAAATCACAGGTTACATTTGAAACAAACAAAACGTATTTTAATAAAAATATTATAACTTATTTAAATAAGAGATGAACTTACAGTAAGTTTCAAAGAAATATAGTTGGTTATAATTTATTGAAAAAATACTATATTAATAAATCTGTTAGACACTGCTTGTGAGCTCATAAAGATTAAAATTTACAAGAAAAAAAAACATTTACATGAAAAAATCCACTATCTATAGTAAAATATAAATATTGCATTAATTCAATTAGTGTTTTAATATATAATAATAATATCATCACTACTATACTTAAGTTCCATGTTGTTAACTTTTAATAAGTGATAATACAGCTTAATTACAGTAAATTACAGTAAACACAATCTGAAAAAAAAAATTGCATAATATTTAACAATTGTTTCACAGTTACATAGGTAAAGGTGTATTTTCATTGGTCGTAAGAGCCTTATACGAGGAGCGATTCCTGTAGCGCATGCCATAGCACCCGCATTCGGCGACAAGGCGCAAGAAAACCGCATAAAAACTGCAATATATACTGTCCGTTTGCATTATCCTGCTTTATGTAAGTTAACGTTTAACGTTAACGTAAACGTTAACGATATAAGCGACCAACTTATCGACCAATAAATATTTAAACAAAATTACATAGAATACTGTTATCAAAAAATATAATATTAACAGTTCAAGTCTAAAGATGTTTTAAGTATGACACTGGGTAATCACAATATATAAGAGATACAACCAGCCGTTGTCGCTAGCGTCGATATGTTTCTTTTGAAAAAACAAATCTATAACGTACACGATGGAACGGCTATATTAAAGGAATGTAACTACAAAATACAATATGATTTATCAAATAGTAAACATATCTTAAGATATTAAAAAAAAAAACAATTCAGTATCGCTTCGAATGCGTTAAAGATATAACTTCGTTCGTCACTGCGCGCGCAAAATCACCTATGTGAAAATCTCTTCACTTTTTGGGATGTACAAAAAAAAAACAGTTTAATTATTTTTATATAAATTCAATATATCATAATCAATTAGCTGAATAATTTATCTTGTGCACACGGTATGCTAAAAACAGCAAGGTGCCTCTTAAAACTAATAAATGGCATCAAAAACATGATTTAAACCTCATAGCTAATAATTTTGCATCCGCAACGACGAAATTTTTCATTCGTATTATTTTAACGATGACGTGTATTTCTACGTTATAAGCCTACAACTGTATTCAACTATTGGCAAATATCGGATGACATAAAATGTATTATCGTTTTCACTAAAGACTTAACTAAATCAACTGTTATAGTCAATGACGTCATTTAACGATTACACAACATACATTATATATGGGAATACATGAAAATATAAAACCTCGAGACTAGGGACCGTCCATTAATCACGTGATGTTTTTTGAGCTTTATTAACCTCCCCTCCCCCTTGGTGATACATGGTGAAGTTTAAGACTAATGCCCCCCTCCATCCAAATCACGTGTATTTTTAGTACTGTAACGTCCGTGCACATTACTATAGGTAGGTTTACTCTTCGGTCAATGTTGGCCGTTAATATTTTAAATTATTACTTTATCTGTATTCGAATTCGCGTGTTCGTGTTTTGCTGGTTGATTATCTTTCTTTCTGATCGAGACCGGCATAGAGCTAGTATCATAGTATTTCGTTGTAAGTAATTTAATGTTATAAGAATTGCAAATAAAATCAAGACTGAAGAATTCTACCAGTTTTTCATTGCGCCACCCATCTCCACCATTTGATTAAATTATTAGAGTACCGACAAAAAACAATAATTTTTGACGCCGGTTTTAGGTTTAGTTATCACTCGATTAACGAACCCCCTTCCCCCCTTTTCGAGCCTCACGTGATTAATGGACGGCACCTTACCATAACACCTCAACCTGATATCTAACTCAAGAGACGGCGATACCTTGGAAATGCCAGTCGCTTGGCTACTATAGCACTAAAAATTATCCAAATAAAGTGCATATTTAAGTGAAAATAATCGTAATCTGTATTATATGCACTAGATAATAACCTTTGAAATAAATTGACGTCTTCGAGTACAGAACTGTTAATAATTGATTTATTCGTTGGCATCAGGGCACAGCTCAAACTACTGAGACTAGGACAATGAAGCATCTAACACTTACAACCGGTTCCTGAATTGAGAATTTGAAGTTAAGCACGTCTCACACGGACTTCAGTACAGTTCAAACGTCACTTAAACAGGTTTCCGTTACTGATTTTAGTATTATTTTTTAACGATCCGTTATTAGCAGTTTAATAAAGCTAGGATTTTTTAATTTGTGAAACGTATAAAAAAAACATAAGTTATTGAGAATAATCTGTTAAGATTTTGCATTTTTCTCAATTCAGGAACCGGCCGTAAGACGCCCTGCAAGTGAAATTAACTATGTGTTAATTTCCTAAAATAATCGTTATTTTGTATTTGTGTACAATAATCTAAATATACAATAAGAAAAAACTGACTGCACTGATTTATACATATATCAACGTACAACCCAAACTACTACTAGGATTAGAAACTTGGACAGTTTGCACGATGCTTCCTAAGTTGTAGGTGAGCACTAAGAATAGATTTTAAGACCCTTCAGGGCTTAAAGTCTAGAAACTCCAATAAGTTAATTTGATAAAATTCCCAAGGGGATGATAAGAGGGGCAAAGTTTTAAAGCAGAAACTTATAAAACCTATAATATTAATTTAATTTTTCAAAAGGAGATCCCTAGAATTAAAAGTGAAAAGATTGTATTTGTTAATTTAATATAACGTGTTATTATGTGGTCTATATGTCCAGTCTCAAATTAAAATAATGAATAAAATGTTTAATTATTATTTATAGGGCCGGGTAAGCAAAACGGCTTTTTTTTTCAACCATTGTTAGATAAACATAAAAATAACATTGATAATATACAATTCACTGTAATAAAATTTCATTGCATTGTTTCTATTGTACGATTGATATTGATTGAAAATACTAATAGCCGAGTCATCACTGATAGCCTTTCGTTCCATATGTTCAACCACAATAATAATAACAAAATAACACTGTGAAAATTATATTTTTTTATAAACAGTGTGAAATTTTGACTTTGAGTGATGGCTGATGGCTGACAGCAGGTCGGGTAGGTAGTTGTTTTAGTAAAAATGAATACCTTTTACAATATTTTAAGATGACTTAACAGAGTTCATAAGGGCTCATATACAAATCAAATGTACTCCAAACAATATTTGTCGTGATAACAATGCGTCATCACCAGAGGTCGGAATTAGGTAGAGTTATTTATGTACTTGCATCGAAATGTTGATATTAATGTGGACCTTCCCGGGATTTCTAATGGACAATCTTGGATATCTTTGGACATCCGATGTTATTGATGTAAGTTTGGCAACGTCGTGCGTGCAGTAGTTGAAATTGTGTGAAAGTAATAACTTTTATTTAAAAAATCACGGGATTTTTTCTGCTCTTTAAAATTAATCTCGGGATTTGAGGCATATCCACTTTATTCTTTCGCTGTATGAAATCCGTGTAAGTACATGAATAACTCTACCTAATTCCGACCACTGGTCATCACAGAACATCTGGTATCAACAAATTTTTCTTAAACGGTTTTGAACTTTAAGTTCTTAGTAATCAAAGATTAATATTTAAAAGCGACCGCAGAATTCTGCTAGCTTTGTTTGAGTTTATTGTACGTAATCTATGACATTATCGGTTTCAATAACACGTGTAAGAACATAACATGGTATAACAGTCAATATCCATTTTTTTTTAAAGCACATTATAAAAGACTGTAGATCTATGACATTAAATACTAAATTTCCATAATGTACAAGTGGATAGAAATGAACAGGTGTTGACATGGACTTAACTCGCCTCATATTTTTATTTAGATTAGTTGATCTAAAGTATACCAATCGCAGTAAGGTACTCTGTCTTCTAGGGATGTATAACTTCCAAAGAAATCGGTATCAGTCTCATTTAAAAAATATGTATAATATTTTGATATTTCCCACGAGGGTTTTGAATATAATAAAAAAAAATTTAACCCCCTTATAAAAAAGATAACGATATATTAGAGGAATAACGCTATTTAGATTGAGCTATTAATAAAGTTCTTAACTTTAATGTTGATTCAACCGTAAACGGTAACGTTTCCTGCGATGTAATCTCGATAACGCTACCAAATCGATACTATCAAAATCGACAGTTAATTTTATTTTCTGAGCTCCTATTTTCGATAGCTTTATTTTATTAACAGAAAAACGAACAATATTTATATTGTTAATATTAATTAATCATAATAACCGTTACATATTAGAATACCATTACTTAACGATACTTTAGTAAGAATTTTGGTAACGTAATCAAGCTTTTTTTTTCCAGCAATCTCATCGCAAGTGACCAAGTTTATAGAAACAGTTCCGAACTGAAAAGTTTCATATTTTTAACATCTGGTTAAGATAAAAAAAAACGGTTTATACATGTTGTAGACTCATCGTATGAGTCTGAGTTCTGCATATTATGTAGACTAAATCATAGACCACGAATTCATCGCAACTAAACATAATGTATGTAATATTTTGTCGTCTGCCTGTACACATTAAACGTTAGGCAGCGTAGGACAGACACGTTGTAAACTTGGTATTAGTTGACATACTGCTTAATGGTCGAGTATGACGCCTCCGGGTCCGGGCAGCGAGGATCGGCCACTTAGGTAAGTGTCGACCGCGCGCGCAGCCTGACGGCCCTCCGATATCGCCCACACAACTAAAGACTGTCCACGGCGACAATCTGATGACAAATGACCAGTGTTACTGACTAATAATGGGTTTAGAGTTGCCAGGTGTCCCGATTTAGTGTTGTTTTTATGCAATTTAATCGGGACGCTATATATATTTTTTTCATACTGTCAAATCCATTTTTGAAAGCCCCTAACTATATTTATATCTATGTCTGAAAGCAAAAAAGCTACCAAACTAGTACATAAACTAGTAGAAAATGCTTAAAAAATCCACATTGTCCCAGTCACTCTGAAATAGGACTCGAACTCATGACATTTCGCAATCCGGGCAACTGTTCTACCCAGGACCTAACAGGACTGACGAACCTTTCAAGCATTGGACATTTGTGGATATTTTCATTGATAAAAAATTAATCCAATTAAAACCTTTTCGTTATGTCTTGTCGGTGAAAACTAACAAATCTGTGATCTCTGGCTACAAAAATAATATCCAACTTTTAAATCAACATACCTCCCGCAGCGAAAACGTTCTTAACAGGCGTGTTGTAAATGTTGGTTTTGTTTGTTTCTATGTTGCTACGTGCGTCCAGGGGCAAGTCTGTAACAAACACCTTTAATGAAAAAACTGGTCAAGAGCGAGTCGGACTTGCGCATAAAGAGTTCATTATCGGTAACAAGCAAAAAAAATCTCAATTTGTTATAATGGGTATTTTCTGATGAGCTTTCTCTGTACGAAATAAAACAGGAAGAAAAAAATAGTTCGATACTTCAAGATCATCATCATCATCAGTCCTTTTACGACCCCATTGCAGGGGCTCAGGCCTTCCTTATGAATGGTTAAAGACGGGCCATGCTGGCCCAATGCGGATTGGAGCGACTGCAAACGCAGCCGGGACCTACGGATTAACGTGCCTTCCGAAGCACTAAGTAGCTCCAGATAATAATTCGGCCACCCATCGCGTGAACGACCCTTGCAAAAGTTGCTCAACAAAACATCGCGGGCCGCGGCGCTCATAAATTACACCATCCAACTATTCTTCAAGGTGTACGGCCATATGTTAGCAAACCGATGGTATAGTATTTCGACGTTCACAGGTGCTTCCACCTAGACTGGATAAATGAATTATATAGTTTCCAGTGAGTATAGTTACCGAGCTGATTGGCGACATATCTCTCCGGTCCAAGGAAGCCCATGGCGAGCAGTACGAGGTCTGCCCGATACACGCGTGTGGTGCCCTCTAGCTCGCACATCTCCCATCTCCCTCCCGCGCCACGTTTCCATTCCACTTCTACGGCGGACACACCGCATACGTTGCCCTCACCTAACATATAAACTCATCAGTCTATTCTCCATCGTTAGAGAAAGAAACATAACAAAAAATAATCAGCTCGAAGGGACAATGTGGACGCCAATGAGCAAATAAATCAAATCAAAGCTTTATTACATGTGATAATAACAGTTATTAACTATAATAAGGCCGAAATCTTGATATTGTAAAGGTGCATACGATCAGACTATTCGCATGCGTTTCGTTCGTGTTATGATATCATAAGAAAACAAATGTGCTTTTAAAACAATTTTCATCAACAGCATTAGTTTTCAATCATCACGACCTCGTTTTACCAATGGTTGATATTTTAATAGCCTTGTAAGACTCCGAAAACGGCAGAAATGTGTTTAATGAGCCATGGAGAAGAACGAGATAATATTTTCTCTTGCTTAACGTCTGCATTCATGAACCGAACGCAGTATACACTTTAGGAAAATTTGCCTTATGTTTATAATTAATCTACATTGTAAACTATCAATGAAATAATGTATTGTTTTTGTTATTCGTAGTCTTAAAAAGTGAGGAAGTTAAAAAGTGACGCCTATTATAATTGAAAAGGAAACATTTCTTGGAACTTGATAATATTTTATAACTGATATAATGATTTTATTTGTAAATGTATATCTAGATCAGTTTAGAATAAATAAGTCATACTAAAGTTATAATAATTATTCGGTCATGTGCTTAGATATATATAAATGACATACCGTCGTCCAGGAACTCTTTGGTGAGTGTGGAGAATTTCCTGGGATCGCTGCCGAATTTAACTTTTACTTCCTCATGTCCATAATCGACTCTATAAAGAAAACACTTGAATTATTCAAGATGTCACTAAAGCGGAACCATGGATAATATTTCAATTAAAACAGAGACAAAATATATTACAGAGTAACAAAATCATAAATTCGGGTTCGGACTTATACAGAATCGCTCTGCAGTTTCCGGCTATTGTACATTTTCCGTCCTTCTCACACCTAACTTTCATCTCGCTTTCACACCACCAATCATTCTGATGTTATATTATACCCTTAACAACCTTTTTTCTCTCTTTCATATAACGTTTCGTTTGTAATTTATATAAACAATTTAAAATTTTAAGCTCAGAATTTTTTCAACCCGGCAATGGACATTTTATGACGGATTATGACAATTTTTATTTCATTGTACGTCAGGTACACTGTTGAAAAATATTAAACACGTTTGTTTTGCGTAATTATTAAATAATGACGATATATTGAGTTAAAATGTCACATGACGTCACACTTTTGTAAATTTTCTACAAAACTGTGACGTAGCGAGCCCCCCCCCCACTCCTCACCTCTAATGCCTGTTATCTAGGCAATTTCTTGTTTGAATTGAAGCAAAAAAAGTATCTAATATTTTTTCTATTATCTGACTGACAGACAAAATTCTATTGAAATTTCTTATATTTTTACCCAGACATCACCATTTAAGAAGAACCAACATGTTTTATGATACCTGAACACTCGAGGCCATTGCGGCCAGGGGTTGTCAGCTCCTCGCGTCTTCTTCGGTTCCGGTAAGATTTCGAATGTCGTGATAGATTTAGCACCCTGTCGCAGCGACGTCGCTATACAGTCACAACTAAACAAACGGATCAATATTAATATTTTTATATGATACCGAAAAGTATCAGATTTACTTTTTTAATAGATTTCAAATACTTTGAAAGGAATTCCATCTAATTAGCGCAGTTAGTATGGCTGCATCTGCAGTAGTAAAACTTGTATGTCTATCTGTACTGGTCTTTGGTGGGGTGGTTTACTATGATACGTTACATTATTATGTTGCTGATAATGGTAATTTATTTGACACTGGCTGATATCAGTCTGACTTGATTGGCTACTAGGAAAGGCGATCATGCATCCTTTGTACGAAAACCGATGTAGCCAGTCTTGCCCCACTTTTAGTCCGCCGTACATCAGACGAATAATTAGACCAATTATACAAAAGATATGCACACACTTGTATTTTAAACATGCCAATCAGAACGCTCCAATATAACTATAACCAATCACGCTCAACCATAACAGACATCTATAGTGCGCAATTTGACATATCACACTAGTGATTGACATAAAGTTATTTACTATCGATATTGAAAAACAACAAGTCGATTAATTGAAAGGATACTAGATTAATGATTTCTCTATATTATATTGGATATACATTGAATTGTATTGATTAAATGAGACATTATCTTTTTTCTTTAGATATAAATTCTTAATTAGTTGGTTGATTCAATAAGAAATATTAAAATTACTAATGAACTAACATTGAATCGGTACTAGTCGAGCTTAAATATATGCATATAATTATTAATAATAATAGTAGTTTACTTTACGTTACTCGATTTCGTATCAAGTAAACAGATAGGATCGACAACATCGCTTAAATGAAACTAGTAATATTGACAAACAATATAGTGTAAATAATTATATACAAAATAAAAAAATACTATCAGTACAATAAATGCTATTGGAACTTATCCTGAACAGACTCCGATGATTTAAAAAGTATTGTTGTTAATGATTCAAAATAAAAAAACTAGTTTTCTGTTTCAATATTAAGAATATAAAAAACAGACTTATTACCACACTCATTATTAAATTAATATACAAACGCATTCCAGACGAAGTCAATATGGTTAATCTCTGATAAAATTTATTTTTTATTACCACTATTTTTATTGTCCATACTTTTATTAAGTTTTTACTACCTAACATACCAAAAATCGATAACATGTTTCCAGGCACTTCACTACCCATCTACCGTAATCTATTATGTTGTTATTTAAAACGGTAATTTCGCGATATTCATTACATTACGTGCTTAGTACGACGCAATGTAATAAATATGCGCACTTCTCCAGCAATGTATATTTTCTAGGAAATATTTTTTGTGATTCACACTTTTGATAACATTTCACGATTTTCGACTAAAAATACTAAATTTGAGAAGTATTCTACTTAATAATGGAAAGAAATCCTTCCTTTGGACCAACTTGAGGATGGGCTTCTTGTTTTGCAATTAATAACTGCGAAAGTCGGCATTTTTAACACTTTTAGTGGCGTGTTTCACAGTACTTACAGCGCGCGCGTTCGTGAATGACTAAACATCGCGATCGCGTGGTGAAGTCACGATCCTGTACATTTGTCTAGGATCGTGGCTGCACTGCCACGCCCACAAGGCCCTTCTAACGTGAAATATGTTGGAAATGGTAAACGATAATAAAGATTTATTTATAAAATTTTATTTTTTGAAAATTCATTACTATTAAAATTGAATTAAATAAATTATTTTTCCCGATTTTTTTTTTCATATATCACCCAATCCAAATATGCTAGATTATAGATTGTTATGCAGTGAATTGAATAATTTGTGGAGCATTCTTTAAAACTGTATTTTTCGCCACTAGAATGATGATAGAAGTCACTAAGATTGCTCAATTAATTTATAAAACAAATTTTCTTAAATATTTGTAATGAAGAAAATTTGTTAAAAAAATTGTATATAATAAAATGCTACATTATATAATTTGTATAGAAATAATATACATCCTTATACATTTCAATTAGAAAATGCATTTATAATCATAAAATTAAATTTGAAATGTTATGTACTAAAACATCGTTTATGTATTACGCTAATTGCTGGGCAATTTATTTTTTTACACAATTTATATAACTGAACAAAAATGGGATACTTGTTTTATGTTTAAACAATAGCATGTACCAATAAAATAAAAGACTCATCATCATCATCATCATCAGCCCTTTTACGTCCCCACTGCAGGGGCTCAGGCCTTCCTTCTGGATAGTTAAGGAGGATGGGCCGAGGACCCTCCACGCTGGCCCAATGCGGATTGGAGTTTACTAACGCAGATACATCCGGGGCCAATGGCTTAACATACATTCCGACGCACGCAGTAGCTAGAAACAAAATTATTTTGGCCACCCATCCCGTGCCCGACCCTTGCGAAAGTTGCTCAACAACAACGTTCACGGGCCTCGCCACCGAGCTAAAAGACTAACAAAGACAAATCAGTCGTCGTCCGTATTGTTATACTGACCCGGTATCGCCTCCCCCGATGATGAGCACGTCCTTGTCCTTGGCGCTGAGGTGGGGCGGGGCGTGCGCGGGCGGGGGCGGGCGGTGCGCGGGGGGGCCGGCCTGCCGCTTCTGCCAGGTCTCGAGGAACTCCATCGCGAAGTGTATACCGTTCAGCTGCCGGCCCTTCAGCGGCAGGTCGCGGGGCCACGTCGCGCCCATGCACAGGACCAACGCGTCGTACCTAATAAACATTATGGATAGATAGATAATAGTTATTTAAGGATATGAGTACGGAAAGTAAGGTTTTACGAATAAGGGCCAAATTGGCACGTAAAAGCGTTACGCTCAAGTTTCTTACAACATTTTTTGCGAGGAAATAAAACAAATATATAGGTTAATAAAACTAAGTATGGATTAAAGGTAAAAATTATTTGTTAAAATTAAACGTGATATTTGAACATGTTTTCGTGTCATACATTTTTATTTGAAAATATTCGTTCTTGAAATACTTTTGCCTCTAAAGTTTGACATGTTTTCATCAATTTTTTTTTTAATTTCTTTGGTGCTCGGCCAACAAAATTTAAAAAAATACTTTTAAGTACGTGTATAGTATAAAATACGTGTGCAGTAAAGGATTTCAGTACATTTTTATTAAACACGTATTTAAAGACTTACTTTCGGTGTTTACAATGGATTAAAAAAAAGCGCTTTATGAGCAACTGCATTGAAAATGATATATTCGTTTTTTGGATCATGCAAAAACAACATTTTGTATAACAGATTTCCATAAATAATTGAAGTAGAAAACTAGATGCAACTGCAGCGAGACAATCAATAGTATGTGTGCCGCAGCGGTGCAAACGGACAAAAACTCAGTGAGTATTTACTCGACGAGTAAAACACTGATTTTTAGTTTTTACCCTAAATACTCGTGGTCGCGCTATACATATGAAAATTCAAATATTATTTACAAAGAGATTAATAAAAAAAGATAATAACTAAAATATACACTATTAAACATGTAGATAGCTGAAAATAAATTAATTCCATTCATTTAATCTAGATCGTTACCACTATCACTAAGGTGACTCATTGCTGGAAAGTTGATTTTGTAGCACCTCAGATCGTAAATGCATTGTAAAAGTTCTACTCTTCTACGAGTTCAGTTTTTCTAATCTTCTACGAGATTACACGTAATTGAGTAAATAAGTAGTAAGTGGATTTTGAACTAATTTTAGGTGATTAAGAACGTCTAAACACACAAATAAGTAAAAAGTTGCAAGTAAAAATTTAGTTAACTACTTATGAGTTTAATTTGAATTTATTTCTTACTTAATTACGTGTAAACAGGCATTAGCGATATCTTAATTAAGCGACACGGTTTCACATAAGTGTTATGTTAATTCATACAAGTAGTAGTGTATCTGAATGAGGTTGCCGCTTCAGGTAACTAAGGGCCATGGCGAGGCTGAACCAAAATCGAGGACTCAGTTTAACACGAAAGGGAGATCTTATATTCAATTGAAAAACCCGATATAATCTTCATTCGCGATATGACTGTAGGAGCGATATTTGGATGTATAGCATATATTTTATTCCATTACTGATAAAATATATGCTATACAGGCATCAGGCCATTTAGATGTCAGTCTCCTACAAACTATGTTTATGATTTATATACTAAGCACATTGTTTAAGTGAAAGTGTGTGGAGAAAATAAATGAATGATTATTAATTATTACTGAGTGACGATTAAACAAAAAAGTAGTCAGCATATCAGCAAAAAAAAAAAACTTTTTTCAATCGATCTTATTTCATGTGGGGGTCTAGTCTACTTTGGTTAGATTGGATAATACATTGAAGTAATCGTGTAGTATAAATTATACCGTATAGTACTCACTCGTTGGCCAAGTCTTGCGCGGAGATATCCTTGCCGACGTCCACGCAACACTTGAAGGCGATGCCCTCGGCGGTGAGCAGCCGTATCCGCCTGGCGACCACCTCCTTGCTCAGCTTCATGGACGGTATCCCGTACTGCAGCAGCCCGCCGGGACGGTCGTTACGTTCGAACACTGTCACCGAATATCCAGCCTGATAACAAATGTACACGCATATAAATACACCAAATATCCATATAAAGTTTTTTTTTGGGAAAAACATATTTTTATTCATTTATTTAAATTGTCCCGTGTTATCAATAGGTAACATGACATTTCAAACCGTGACATTACATTTTAATAAACATGAGTACTTGTTACACTCGCAACAAAGTCGTTGTCGTTTAGTTTATTAAAATGTGACGTCATACGATGCTCCGTAATGGCCAACTGCTTTCGGATCTAGTTATCCACAGATTATAAATAGCAAGTTAAATTTGAAAATAAGATACACTTACAAATTATATTATTACAATAAAAACATACTAAACGGTTAATGTTCAAATATAAGTTACCATTTCCAGCATATTTTGATAATAAGTTACACCAATAATTTATGTTATCAACATATCTAAAAAGTAGATAGCACGAAAAATAAATAAGCCCTTTCTTTAAATAATGACCGCGATATTAATCGTTAAAGTACAGCCTCCGCGGCAAAATCCGGCGAAGCCGCGTCACCGCGCTAACGTGTGACGTCACTTCGCGACAGTACCAGTACAATAAAAAAAAAGATTTAAAATATTAAATGCACACCATTTTTACAAATCAGATTTTATCCATTTAAACATTAACACTCCGCATCACCCGCAGTCGAGCCTGAATGTCGCGACACAACGTCATCGCATAGCACGCGAAGAAATGCAATTTAATGCTAATCCAAACTTAGGTCAAAGCTGAAAATCGGCAGTTTGCTTTTCAAGCAAACATATTGCCGAGCTTTTTCCCTTTTTGCATAGTCATACATGTTGCCCTGTGTGTGTTTTAATCACTTGTTTAATTTAATATTTTTATTTTGTTTTTATATTATATGTCAGTGTATATTTAGCATGTTGTGCTGTAATTATTGCAAATAAAATTATCATTCACTCATTTAAAAAAAGCGGAGAAAATTTACAACGCCGTAACTTCGGTAATCTTGGCCCGATTTCGATGAAACAAAACTTTTATTATTTGCAAGATTACGCGCGTTAAATGTAGTAACTTTCATAGTAATATTTTGATGTTCTGATGTAACTCATTTATTGCTGTGATTGTCAAGTATCCAATTAAATGAAATTTACAACAACATAATACTGAATTGGTTACTTTTTTTGCAAGTAATGAATCAATGAATATATACTTTCTTGCATAGTAAATCATAAACATAAAAACCGTATATTATTAGAAATATAGATGCAAAAGGCGGTCTTATTGCTAAGGTAGCAATCTCCGCAGCCTTGACTAAAAAAACGATACCGATTGAGTAATAAAAAAAAAACACAACAGAACACGAATTCAGGAACATGAATCCAGCTTGAAGAAATGTTCCTTGACTTGTTTAACATAGGATTCGCTTGACAGCTTGATAGCACCGATATAAAAGGACTTTACAACAAAATCCGTGTAAAACATAATAAACTCTTCTCATCGCTCATCGGTTTGATAAAACTATTTATTTACCTTATTCAGCTGATGTGCGCAACCGAGTCCAGCCGGACCTGACCCGACCACTGCTACAGTCTTACCGTTACGGTTCGGTGGGATCTGTTGTAAAAAAATACATCACAGATAACATATATTTATGAAGAATACCAGAAAATAATTGCAATATAGTGTAATATATTTAAAAAAGGATCAGGGTTTAATATTTTAATAGGGTGAAGACGCTTTGTTTTTAAATATTTTATTTTATTTTATTCCTTTTTTTAATCATTCATAATAATGACACTTTATTGTCACACCATTTTTGAACATTAGATGAAATTTATAATTAAAAATGACAACACACAGACTATGTTTATGAAGTACTAAAATTTAGTTTTTGTGCAATTTCGTGACTTATCTTTCACTACCAATGCTACCCTATTCTTATATCTACGGGAAGCTACATGATATGCGGTGGAAATAGGCTAAAAATAAATCAAACTTTCAAAGTTTCCCGCGAAAACGCCACTTCTGTCATGGCGTCGCTATGACGTCACGGCGCTCTAAAACGAATATCGTTCTATGTATTTTTGTTTCTTCATAATTAGTTCTAGCAATATTATGAATGTAATAAACAGAAAAGTGTGATTATCACCACCAGACTAACAGACAAAAAAATAATATGTATTTATATTCGTTTAATGTCTACATCCGTATGCACGTTGCTATAGTAACCATTGTTTTCTATTCAATTAGTGATTGTTACAATCATATCCGTGTCATGATATGAAACTTATCGAAAAGAATTATTAAATTAAATTCTAACCCTGGATAAGGACCACGCGAGCGAAACCGCTGGCGGAAAAGCTAGTTTATAATAAAAATATACGATACCTGTGGTTGTATCCACCCGGACTCGAACGCGTGATCAATGATGGCGCACTCTATATTCTTGATGGTGACCGCTGGTTCGCTTATTCCCAACACGCAAGCGCCCTCGCACGGCGCCGGACAAACGCGACCAGTGAACTCTGTATCAATATATGAGTTTTATTGCATTTCATAGTAATGTAAGTGTTAATGAAAAACTGTAAACTGTAAATAATATTCACTTTTAAACCAATATCCTTTTCTAATTATGTTTTACGTATGACGGAGAAACGAATTGCTATCAATGAAGTCTACCTTATTAGTCTTTAAATCAAAGTGCTCAAAAAATATGCAATAATCGAGAAAACTATATCTATGGAAGATAACAACTACCTTTAACTTAACGCAGAATAATAATCCGCTTATAAATTAGAGCTCATCAATTACGAAACGAAAACCCTTGGGTTTCCTTTTGCGGAAAAGATAAACCTACATTCTTTTTGATAATGAAGGGAAAATCAACCTTAAGTCTTAAAACCAGTGATCACTAACCATTCTGGTTGAAGCTTGACAAAAAAGTAGACAAACACTTTTTAACCGAAGGGAATCGGCTTTAACACTTCATCGGTCTGGACGAAAAACCGACTAGTTCGAGGCTCTCCAACCGCCGAATATGGGAGAGGCAGATAGCCTACCAACCCGAGTAGCAAAATTCGATACAATAGAAGTTTCAAAACGTTTTAACGCGAGTTAGTTGTATAATAATGTTTTAAACCGCAAATTTAACACAGACCGTGTTTTGTCACAGATTTTTCTAAAAACATATCATACATTTTTTTCAATATTATATAATCAAATCGCTTTGTTGAAAACCTCTCGCGTAGTCCAGATTCCAATATCTAGCAAGGAGTATTAATAAATATATTAAACAACATCACATACATTGCTCAGATTCCAATATGAGTAGCTAAAGCCCCCGTATTATGGAGTATCTGAGACAACGAAGGTCCACATCCAGACCCGATACAATATAGAAAAGTTCATTTTCTACATTGACCCAATCGGGAATCGAACCGGGGACCTCATATATGGCGACACCTTGAAACCGTCGTCTATCATTGAAAGGGGTGGTGCACACGAAATCCATCAGAGCTAATATCTGCAGAATATCAGTGCAGAGGGTCCTGCCTGCTGCTTATACTGAGCTGAGTCCAGCGTTGGCATCACATAGCATTTGCAGCAACCTGTTTTTTAAATATTTTATTCAGCCCTATTTAATGTTGTTGTGTGTGTTATGTGGTTTCAACAATAAACGAATTTCTTTCTTTCTTTCTAATAGACAAACGCACCTGGGAAGTTGTTGGTCTGCAGCAGATGGTGCAGGGCCTGCTTCCACTGGCCCTGGTATATGAGGTCGTTCCACTTGGGGATGATGTTGTTGAGCGGGCACCCGTGCTGGCTCTGGCAGAACGGCACGCCGCAGTCCATACAGCGGGCCGCCTGCACGCGCAGGCCGCGCCGCACCCGCGCGGGCTCGTATATCTCCTCCCAGTCGCGCATCCGTTTCTCGGCCGGACGGTACACGGACGTCTCGCGCGGGTACTTCATGAAACCCCTGTGCGGGACGCCGATGTTTCATGGTGAGCTTTATATTTCTTTTTAAATTGACTTGTAATATTTGCACGTCGTCCTGACGGCGATATTTTTGCAAATAAAGATTTTATTATTATTATTTGTTTGGTAAACAAATATAATAATAACAAGAGCTGGTGAGTTTCTTGCTCGTTGTTCTTATCAGCCAAAAGACGTGCTGAACGAGCGGTAGGGAAAAAAAATTTGGACGATTCAAAAGTACTTTTAAGAAGTCTATTTGGTAAGGATTATTTTGACTTTGACTTTAATACTGTTCACCTAACGACAATAGTTAAATAAACTCGTTTAACTATACGATTCAAAAGTACTTTTAAGAAGTCTATTTGGTAAAGATTATTTTGACTTTGATCTTAATACTGTTCACCTAACGACAATAGTTAAATAAACTCGTTTAACTATTAACCGGTCAATGTAACCGGTTTTGTCACGGCCAACTAAACTTTGATCTCGCTCTTTATCGAAGTTAATGTCATATATGATAATATTAGAAATAGGAAACATTCGATTGTTTTTTTAAGTCTTGGGTCTTCCAGTTTTTTTCAGTTGAGATCGAACGAGTTAATTCGCGGCTCACAAACGAACTAGTTCACTCTTCTAGTTCGTGTAAATTCCTAACTCTTAGCTCTAGGAGTAGTTTTTAAACGAGCGAACGATCTGCTTTATATTGAATTATTATAAGGTAGTTCGTTCGTTTGTATTCATGTTGCTCTAGTAGATTATTGAACACCGTAAATTAAAAACAAAATTTTGGAGACAAAAGATAGCATAAATAAACACATGAACTTATATTTATAACATATGAAATTATATATTTTTTATATTAGTTTCACTAATACAAATTGCAATGCACAAATTAAAGTGTCAGAGTGATTTTTGGATTCCCAGAAGTTTTTCTTTCGCAAAAAATGTCTAATATAATAAATAAAAGACAAACTAAATTTTGATTTAACTTAAAAACAATACATATTGTAATCGTAACATTACCTAGTCTTATCGAGAATCTTCTCCAAATTCTTCTTATCCAACTCCACGTCCCTGACAGCCTCCTCAATGTCGGCGACGCCGTTCTCCGTTCTGCCGTTAGCTTCTATCTTCGGCGGTGACTGTTTCAGAGCCATCCTCTTCAACGCGCGCTGGTATTCATATGGGAATACCTTTACGAACTTCTTCGCCGGCTCTGGCCAAGTGGTTAGCATCTCTTCAGCAATCACCGATCTGATATATAGGTAATAACATCATTATGGGAATTGTTATATTACAAAAACGGATCAGCCCTATGATTCTCTAAAAATCTAAAAATTCAGGCGTGTGAATTCACTATAAATAGCGTTATCCGCTCAATCTTGAATTGATAATATCGTTTCGTGGCATAACTGGAGTGAGTTTCGAAATTATATAGGAATAAAATATCTGACACAAGTATATTCAATCAATTATGGAACCAATAGTATTTCTATACATTTAATTATTCCATTAGTGATCGGCTCAATATGTATTATACTTTTTTTGTCTCTTAGTTAAAAGTGTTACATTGTTATGGAATACTCTAAGTTTCACTCACCCTGTCAACTGCACAAACTCTTCTAGCAGCACCTTAACCTCGTCCAAGTCTTTCTGTATTTCCAAAGGCAGGAGTTCCACCATTTCTTGGTTACATTTGCCGTTGAACGACCCATCTATGTCGTACACGTAAGCTATGCCACCTGTTGGTCATATTCGTAGTTTAAGATTTTATTCTTATTGATTATTAATAAAGCATGAGTATATATACAATACATAATAATAAATGACATTTGATTTTATCATAGAAACATAAATGAACATTAATGAAAAATCTACATAATCTGCATATGAATTTTAGAGACGGTAAAAGCTTAACTTCATTAGGTCATTTAAAAATGTTTCTAGGAAAAGATCCATGACTTTAAAAATATTCTGAAATGTATTCACATAATTAACGCCTATCGATCATATTTCACGCACGGGATTTTGTATGCAAAAACGATAATCAACCCGAAATATTTTTCATTGCTAATTACTATACTAGATCACAATCTTATGTGAACCGATCTATAATTATAATTTTAGCAATTAAAATTATTATCTTCCTATCAATCTGGTATCAGCAAAATAGTAATCAGTTTTTTTTTGTGACATTAAAATCAGTAATTATTTATTTATTTTTGAAACTACTATTTTTATAGTCATCAACGACGTAAACTTGTTTCATTTAGTTTATAATATGATTTACTACAATTATACAGTTTATTTACATGATAAATTACGTGGTACATATTTAATTGCAATAAAAAATTGTGATAAGTGGCAGTGGCCTCTTATGTCTCAGAACCGACGAGAGGAGACGGGTTCTCGAATGGAGACCACGCCTCGGCAAACGTAGTATCGGACGCCCACCGGCAAGATGTATTGACGATCTCAGAAATGTGGTCGGCGGTGGCTGGATGAAGACATGAGGGAGATAGTGTTTTGTAGCGCACTCTGGGGGAGGCTCTGATATGGTGACACAGGTAGATGTATAGTATACGCGAACGTAGGAAATTAAGAATGGTAAACACTCTCTTTGCAATTTTATACGATCCACGCGCGTAATGTATCTGAAATTTAAGTTTCAGTGCTTGGGTGCCTCTCATCAAAAACAACTTCGCTCCAGTTCTATTCTGGTACTCCGGAATCCTGCTCATCATTCTATGTTTGTTTCCAAATCTTTTTCTCTTGCTGCTAAACGACTATGGAATGCACTACCTCTGGACGTACGAAATGCTCCGAATAGGCTAGTATTCAAGCAAAAGTGCGTGAACACTATCTAAAAGGTAACAACCTTTCCTGACTTTCCAATGTGACATGTCAACGTTTATTTTACTGTATATATTTATTTATGTATATATGTATTTGTGTGTTTGTATGTGGGGTATTGTCTTAATATATATATGTATATAATTATTAATTATGTCAGAATAATAATTCTCTATCACTGCGTTACACATTTTCTGTTAATCCACCGGTTGACTGGTAGAAAATGACTCTGGCATTTGCTGTAGTTTGGCAATAAAGATTTTTTTTTATGGGATAGGGGCAGACGAGCAGACGGATCACCTGATGGTAAGTGATTACCGTCGCCCATGGACACCTGCAACACCAGAGGGGCTACAAGCGCGCTGCCGGCCTTTGAGGGACGAATATGATCATAGGGAGGGAAGGGTTGAGGGGTAGAGGGAAGGGAATAGGGAGGGGTTGGGCCTCCGGTACCCTCACTCACACGACGAAACACAACGCAAGCGTTGCTTCACGTCGGTTTTCTGCGAGGCCGTGGTATCACTCCGGTCACTCCGGTATCACTCCGGTTTATATAAATAATTAAAAAAATAATAATAATACCGACCGCTCATGCCGGCCGCGAAGTTCCTGCCGGTGAGCCCCAGCACGAGTACCACGCCGCCCGTCATGTACTCGCAGCCGTGGTCGCCCACGCCCTCCACCACCGCCACGCACCCGGAGTTGCGCACGCAGAACCGCTCAGACGCTATACCTCTGCATCAAACACCCACAAACATTATCGTTTAAAGCAGCCTTTCCCAAAGTGGGCGATAACGCCCCCTTGAGGGCGAGGCCCAAAGGGGGCAAAAAACCTAGAAAAAAATGGCGGCGATGTGAAGAGGATTAGGCGGGATTTGTAATTTCATCTAATAGGACTCTTTGACACTGACTGAACTCTCAACCAATATTAATTAATATATTGCTCAAACTAGCTGTATTTTTTTATATTTTTCTCGGAGTAATTTATATACGTGTATTTGCTATTGCTACAATGTATCTTGTTTTTATTGAGTTCCCGATATTTAAGATACACGAATCTTGATTTAAAATCAATGTACATGGTAGCAATCCCATAAAAAGCTATCAATCTAATATGACCATGACCATTTGTATTACCGAATAAATAAAATAAAAATCATGTCAATCGGTCGCTCCGTTTACATAGTCATACATAAAATTAAAAAGCAATGGCACAATAGCTGGTAAAATAAAAATACCTGAAGTAAGCTCGGCCGGATGTGGCTCCATACAAGCACACGTTGCCGACGATCACGTTCAAATGGGACTCGAAAGATGAATTCTTTGGAGGATAGATGATCACTTTGCCACCTGACAGGCCTTTGCCTAAAACAATAAAAAGTTACAGTGAGATCAAACTATTGATGTGTATTGTGACTCTAAGTAAGACCTACCAATTTCGACAGAGTCTTGTTTCAATAACTATAAGGTATAAAATACTGTAAGGTCCATTTTATTCATACTCAGCCGGGATTAATCTCGATTCTGATCGCGCAGGTATGTCGTTAAACCATATTAGTTATATTACAGATACTATTTGTATTTTGCTTTCTGCATTTTTTTATTACGTTAATAATTATGTATGTGATGAAGTCTAATATTTACGTATATAAAATATACTCTTAAAATTCGTTCATAAAACCAAAATATGAAGGAAGTATAACAAAAACGGAAGAAGCAAAAGGCGAAGAAAAAAGTTTCAGAGCTTTTTCTATAAAGGAAACAGTTTGTAATAATAAAATGGCATATAAAATTCACTGACCAACGTAATCGTTTGCGTCTCCCTCGAGCGTGACAGTGATGCCCCTCGCGAGGAAGGCGCAGAAGCTTTGTCCCGCGGACCCAGTCAGGAATATGTCGATACTGCTGCCATCCGGTAGACCCTGGTCACCGTATTTCCTGCGAGGGTAGATGCACAAATAATTCTATTACTGAGTTAGTGAAGTTAAAAATATGTAATCTGTGTTGTCTTGTTGGTGTTCTTGTTTTTATTTATTATAGAAACAGCATCCAGAACTTTCAAATGAGATAAACAATACTAGTGATTATACCGTCCGAAAATAAAACTATTACAAAGTAAATTTATGCAATAGTACGAGTTTATAATTAATTTCTAAAACAATGGTAAACAATGGATACTATGGTAACGTTTCGATTACCAATTTAAATTTTCACTTCTATTTTGATACCTTTATTTGTTGTTTTTCAGAACAAAATATAATCTATGACAACCGCATATGATATAGCTTCCCGTAGGTGAAAGAATTTTTAGTGTCGGAGCCTATTCGATGCAAACAAACAATCAATCACATATTTCTTCTTAATAATATTACAGTACAGACATCGTATCAATTGAAATGCGTATTGATGCATCCTTAGTATAAGGTTAAGATAAAACTAGTATAATGTTACTGACATGGCGATGTGGTAGGAGAGTGTGGAGGTGAATGCGCGGTCCTCGTTGGTGATGCGCATGCGCACCTCCGCGTGTTTTTCTTCGCCGGAGATGACGCGCGCGAACTGTTCTATCAACTGGTTGTCCAGACGCTTCTCCAGTTGAAAGTCCTTTTAAAATAATTCATTTAATAGGGATGATGATTAATTATTGTTTGCCTATCTGAATGAGAAACACGTATTTTTTTAAATTTTTTGCTTAATCAATAAATTACTGCGATGCATCGAGTTGAAATATGGCATGACGGCACGCCTCTGTACATTTTTTACATAGTTGTAACTCTGTGAGCCCTTATAACTCGACTTTAATACCTATTATTATCTAAGCTTTTTTTATTTAAAATGAAACAACAAAAAAAATAAAATAAGTATCTTATATTTTTCTATTATTTGTTCCGTTCGATATCCGGAATCCATCTTGAGTCAAGCATCATCCTTTTTGTGACGTTTCCGGTCAAAAACACTACCTCCCCTCTTACTTCCGGCGCCTGTGCTGCCATCTAGTTTGCGGGTAGCGAACCAATGACTTTTAGGCACGAACGCTTACCGTCATTATAGCGTCGTTTTTCGTGGCGAAAACATCGGTCCTACATAAAATGTGCACAAATTATACTTATTATTATATAGTTTGGTGTTAAAATTAAAATGAAATGAATATAAAATTAACCTCCCTTCGCGATGGAGCAACGGGACAGCGAAATAAACAAAGAAAACAGCATTGAAGCAGGCGTGTTTATTGTCTTCGAGCTCATCGAACAGCGTCGTCGGATTCCAGCTCGGAGAGAGCAAGTAAGGTACAGAGGCGAGAAAAACTGTAAGTGATTTGCATTCGATTTGTTACCCCAACCAGTGACATTTTTTGATAATGCATGATAAAAACTGGAAAACTAAATCCACCTGTGCATTTTTCCATAACAAAATAGCACATAGTATCCATACCAGGACCGCAATTATGGCAACCACAGCCACCATCACGTTCGCTACGACCCCACGGTCCTGAACAGTTCCTACTTGCAGCGGTTACGACTGGTGATAATTTTCTTTATGTACCTACTATAGTAAAACAATCAACACAAGTTCAAATAGGATTTTTTTTTTTTCTTAATAACGTTAAAGACCCAGTCTATGGTGAAACCAAATTAGATAAAACATGCTCAAATGAAACTATAAGTTGAGGCGATTTGTTTCTGCTACAACAATTGATGATTTAAGATAAGATCTTTATTTGCAAAAATAGAAGTCATTATAGTTAAATTTTATAGAAATGGTACAATCTACAGCATTAACAAATACCTTAACAGAATTAAAGTATGAATCAATTAGTTTAGAACTAGTTTACAATAAATTGCAGATTGATCTATTGCTAAAGACCTTAATGCTTTTTGATAAAATCTAATCAACATTCAACAAGGATTATATTTTCCAAATATTAAGTGGCAGACGCACTGATGTGTTCAGAGCCGTGGAGAAGTTTTCTGAGGTGTCTTTACAGAAATTTTTGCCAAATTCAGAGTTCAAAGTCAAAGTCAAAATAATATTTATTCAAATAGACTTCTCTTTTGAATCGTCCAACATTTTTCCCCACCACTCGTTCAGGACGTCTTTTGGCTGATAGGAAGAACGAACAAGTTCTTCTTTGATAAAAGTATATTGCACCCAAAAAACAAGGGGGTGCATAAAATGGTTGCAACTGCAAGTTGATTCAAGGTAGATTACCAGAAGTACATACCAATATTTAAATGGTAATGAAACCAGTTCATTAAACTTTAGAAATAAATACAATGCATGACATGACACATTGGAGGGGGCTATCTAATGCGATCTGTAAGTTTATGGAACAATCAGGATGTTCCAGATTGCATATGTCGGATCTTGGGCGAGTGGCTCACCAGTTCCAAGGTGTCACCATTTCTGAGCTCCCGCATTCCACTCTCGATCATGTTAATGCAGATAATGAGCTTTTCTATATTGTCTCTGGTCTGGGTGTTGTTACCTTCGTTGTTTCAGATTGCCATAATACAAGTGTTTAACTATATCATTTGGTATCTAAACTATGTAGGTATGTGATGGTATAAAAATTATATTTTTATGCGTGGATTCCGGATATCGAACGGAACAAATAATAGAGAGTTTTAACTACCAATAAAACTTACCTTAACCGTACCGTAAGTTCTACCTGGTGCATCTAGAGTAGGTATAATGACGGTAAGCGTTCGTGCCTAAAAGTCATTGGTTCGCTACCCGCAAACTAGATGGCAGCACAGGCGCCGGAAGTAAGAGGGGAGGTAGTGTTTTGGACCGGAAACGTCACAAAAAGGATGATGCTTGACTCAAGATGGATTCCGGATATCTTTAGGAAAAATAATAGGTAAGTTTTATTGGTATTACCGACGGGACTAAATAGTTTCTTTTTTTTAAATCCCGTAAATAACTATTCCTTTTAAAAAATATATAAAAGTTAATCAATGTAGATGGCTATTGTTGCTATACAAGTGTTGATATTTTAAAAATAGCCCTGTATATATATAATGTATATATTGTCGGGGACAGTTTAATACCTTGTAACTAACACTTGCATTTAACAGCTTATTTCAAATGAGATTATTCATGATTATCAGCCATTTAACGTCCCCACTGCATCGAGCTACTCGCGCCAGTTTACAATTTACTTAAAATTAACTCCAAATTGCAATAGAGTATTAGACACTTTTCTGAAAATAATTTTAAACTAGCATTTGCGCGCAACTTTGTTTGCGTGGTATTAGTATTTACAGTCGTTTATTTTTAAACAGCTTCAAAAAATAAGAATAGGCTTTCAATTTTATTCTTTTTTATTGTGTCCATATTGTATTGTTTATCAAAAATATTGCACTGTTTTTGTTTGACATAGTATAGGCAACGTTTACAAAAATAGGCGCCCTCGGAAGCACTCCGTACTTGATACTTCCTAGGGAAGATCTAAACTCAGAAACTTCAAGTGCTAGGAATTTCAAATTTTGCATGCGGGTTCTTTTTAGGACTAAGGTGCTCACTACGACAACATTTTATGAAATTCAACCCCTAAGGGGGTAAATTAGGGGATGAAAGTTTATTATGGAATTTTCTCATTTCTGGACTTAAAACTAGATCACGCGGGCGAAGCCGCCGGCGGAAGGCTGGTACAGGTATAAATACCTGTGATTTGGAGCCGGCCCGTATGTTAACACCCGGCCGCATGTGTAGAGCGTTCTTCAGTATGAGGGAGAGGTTCAGTAGTCGCGCCTTAGGATTGGAATTATTCTCGCGAACTTTCAGCAGATCAGTACGACCGATCAACTCCTGGAACTTGCGCACGCCCACCTCCGCCATATGCTGGCGGACCTACAGGAAAAAGTTAGGCTAGATATTAAAAGAGTGCGATAAAAAGTAAGGCAAAATCAGTAATTTTTATTCCGTCTTAACTATTGAGAGCCCTCAGAGACTAAAGTAGACCTATATAAAAACACATAATAATAATACCCTTTATTGCACTCAATATAACACAGGTTACAGGAAAATTACAGTAAGAAACAGAACACAAATGGCGGCATTATTGCTATACAGAACACAAATGGCGGCCTTATTGCTATACAGCAATCTCTTCCAGGCAACCAATGGAGATTTAATGGTAATAATTAGAAACTTAACTATAACTTCAGCTAACGGAGACCTTAGTTTGAAGTAATGTTGGTACAAATGTAAAGAAAAATCAGTCAAACACTATTATTTACCCCGGTTAGTTGTTGAAAACCGAAAGTGACTATATACCTTCAATATGCCCTTTTCTTATAGCACCGAGTTTATTAAGTAAGATATATTGATATAAGCGAAAAAAAATCTAAAATGTTAGTTAAAAACAATTGCAATTCACAATTTATTGAGGTACTTTAATAATATTGTGCTTTGGACGGGAAGCTTGTACTCAAAGCACAAAGATTTCTACTTAAAGTTCCAGCAGCAAACTATGTAAGCTTTGATTGTGCCATAGTTGTGTAAAAAAGTTTTGTGTTTCATTGTGAAAATATTATTATTATTATCTTCGCTACCTCCTCGGCCAACATGAAGAAGTAGTTGATGACGTGTTCCGGTTTCCCGGCGAACTTCTTCCGGAGAACGGGATCCTGGGTGGCGATACCCACGGGGCATGTGTTTAGATGACACTTACGCATCATTGTGCATCCTATAACGTAATAAGATCATATATATCATACGTGAAGAGAAACTTTGGACCACTTTTTACTAAAATTACGAGAATTGTAGGAATGGAATTTGGCAGTGTTAAAATTCGTATGGGACGGAGTAGAGACGGAAAAATAATTAACAAAATTTTGTTATCTTGAGCTGCATTTGCAGTTTTGAACACCCATCACCGGGCCCGCGTTATGAGTTATGGCATGTTCTTCCTCTGATCTTACTGTGTAATATTAATAGGTAAATGATAAAGTAGTATACAAATAACAGCGAAACTAAATTATAGTTAACATTCATATAATTCTGAGTCGCACGCACTCAGGCACATTCTACACACACACTAACACACTCACGTATCTACATAAAAATAAGTTGGCTACTCTATTGTAATAGATATAACTAATGTCATGATTTATTAACATAATATTGTTAATTGCAAAGATTTGGACCGAAACAGGCTTAATGTAGATAGTTATTTGTTATACAAGAATACAAAGTTGCTTTTCAACCGCGTGCTCATGACCGAATAAGGGAAGGATTCTTAAATTGAATAACGAGTGCAGCAAGTGATTTAGAATTTAGAATCTGAGCGTTTATGCGATCGAATCAAAAGAGCAAATTTTCATCTCACCTCAGCGAGGAAACCTCTAAATGCAAAGAAAATATTTACAATCACACCAAGTAGGATCAGAGTCTGAGTTTTTAACAAATTGAAAAAGGTTTTACGTTAAATCGGCCCCATGGAGGTAGAAGTTAGTAGGTTTAATAATGTTTAAATTAAATTTATATTATCCTCTAACAGATAAAAAGGGCTTTTGCATTCAGATAACGAAATGCAATAATAATTTTTCCGAGATTGACGAAAAAGACATTTATATTTTTATATAACAACAAAAAATCACACGTTACCCATAGCTATAAGCGGCGCGGTACTGAATCCGAACTCGTCAGCGCCGAGGAGGGCGGCCACCATGACGTCGAAGCCGGTCCTGATCTGGCCGTCGGCCTGCACCACGACTCTCGACCTTAAGTCGTTGAGCACAAGCACCTGGTGGGTCTCCGCCACGCCGAGCTCCCACGGCAGCCCCGCCGACTTGATGCCCGTCCACGAACTGGCGCCGGTGCCGCCGTCGTGGCCAGATATCACTATGTGCTCCGCTTTACCCTATGTTGCAGGGGAAATATAAACTTGTGTAATACTAAATATGTCTATAAAATGGTACAGTGGAACCTAAGCAATATGACTAGACCAGTAGCGCAATAGGGATGATATATTTAGTCCGTCAGTCAGATAATACAAAAATATTGGATACGTATTTTTTTCTAAATCAATTTAACAAGAAATAGCTTAGATCACTTAAATACATTTTGTAGAAAATGTACAAAAGCGTGACGTCATGTGACATTTTAAGTCATCGTAATTTAATGATTACACCAAAATAAAAAAAATACATGTTTAATTTTTTTTTAAATCTACCCAATGGACAAACAAAAAAAGGTAGTCGTCATTCATATTAGAAAGTAGTTGAGATTTTATTGAGATGCAATTATTACGCAAAAATAGCAGATATGTTGAGGAGATTCGCAACCGCAACCGAAACTATTGGATATTAACTATATAAGGATACATACCAGACCTACTGGTCCATAAACGTTATTTTAGTTTAAGTGTTTTTTAATAATTTTAATAACTAATAAAACATGCTAGGTTTATATCACTGTCACGATCATGAATGGTCTTTTAATTTGACACTAATAATTCAGACTTAGCAAATTTATCCTTCTGCATTAGTATATAGGTAAGATTTATTAATTTAGAATAATAAAAAGGGAAAGGATAAGATATATTACTTGTATTTGTACCTGAGTGATACAATTTATGTGCCTTTTAGAAATTCCGTAGCATATGTATTGTTCGTAGCAACTTACCTTCGCTACTCCGGATGCTACGACGCCTACGCCGACCTCCGATACCAACTTGACGGACACGCACGCGGTAGGGTTGGCACATTTCAAATCGTAGATTAGTTCAGCCAAATCTTCAATAGAGTAAATGTCGTGATGCGGAGGCGGAGATATAAGACCAACGCCTGGTACCGAGCAACGTGTGGCTGCAATGTCTTCTGTCACTTTGTAACCTACAACGGGAAAATAACTGTTAGTACCGGACATGTATTTTTAACGCAATAATAGGGGATTGAACAACTTTCTAAAAAACTGTTTTAAATAAATCTTTATGGGCGCTAATAAATCTTTCAGGGAATAACCCTGAAAAAAAAATGTAAATTAATCTTATTATGTTTAAAATTTAAATATTTAAAAAACCGCGTAATTGGCGACTCTTGAGACATGACATAATTTGTGGGTTCAAACAAAAAGGACTTTCAATAAAATGAATTATCGTCTGCAGTACTTATATTTAAACTCATAAATAAATTAAACAGTAAACTGATCAGTGTAACCGGTTACAAGGAAATCATTAAGGTTATTTTGCACTTAGAATGTTTCCTGATCTCGAACTACCAATTTACTCAAAAATAACGTCACCCGCTCTGATGTGTTTCTTTTAATGTGAGACACAGACTACAAATATTGGAAAAAATATATTTTTGTTTTTTGATTTAAAATTATAAATAATTATTATTTAGCAAAAATATTCGGCGATTTTTTTTATCTAAATGCTGTTTGATCCCCTTATATTTCTCAACACCCGTTCTCTAACCAAATAGGCTATAAATAATATGCAGTTGTCTACGTAGTAGTTAGACAAAGGCCGCGTGGGAAGTCCTCTAAGCTCGTGCCAGATTTAAGAACATAGATATATAGGCCATAATCATCTCTAGAAACATAATAAAAAGGCAAAAGAATAGACCACAAGTCTTTTAGCAAAGTCATGATTCTCAGTATTGTGTACGTACGTACTTGTACGCACGTATGTATAATGTATATGTTACCGGGCAGCTCCCCCCCCTCGCCGGGCTTGGCCCCCTGCGCCATTTTGATCTGCAGATGGTCGGCGTGCGCGAGGTACGAAGCGGTCACACCAAATCTGCCCGAAGCCACCTGCTTGATGGCGGACCGACGGTTCCATTGCGGGTCCTGCACCACCGTATGTAACGACAAAATTATTATTGGTCTATAATTTTACCCCTCAGAGATAAATTAGCCATTAGTCTGGGCGCAAACAATCATTTTCTGGTTTCCTAATCATTAATTATAATTGGGGGACCCGAACACGCCCCTTTTATACAGTGTATGCAACGCGCACACGTTTGTTTCGTTTTCAGTTCAGAAAAAACCTGACGTTCTTATGAAAGGCGCTAGTTCGAGCAAGGTTGGAAAAGGAGACCGATTTAAAGTTAAATTAATCTGGAAGAATCGCGCCGAAGGAGACGAAACTAATGAATTTTAGAATTCTTTGCTTGATTTGTCTGCCATGTAGCATTTAATGCCTATTACGCTTGTCGCATCAACGATATCACGAATTAACTAGTTTATTCGTTAATCTACAACTCATGATATACTGCTGAATGCAGTAAGTGACTGAGTATTAATCTATACTCTATACAAATAAACAAAATTGGAGTGTCTGTTTATAATATCAAAGTAACCACTTTTTACTAAATGCATATATACACGGTACATTTACTAAAATAACTTCTTTTTTTACATGATTTGTCTATCTGTTTGTTCATGCTAATCGCTGAAATGGCTGACCTGATTTTGACGGGACTTTGGCAGACTGGTACTCGCAGATAGCTTATGTAATAAAGTGTAATTTAAACAAGCGGACGAAGTCGCGAGCACCACTAGTCTACAATATAACTATAAATAAATAATACTTTAACCATTACGAACCTGATTCAAATATCTGTCTGCGTTCTCACCACCCTCGCCGGTATTGGACTTGCCTCCGATGCGATTCATAGCGATAGCCAGAGTCGTGTGCGCTTCCAATGATATGGACCCGAAAGACATGGCGCCTGGACGAAATTAAACTAATATAATAAAGGATTATGACTGCAATAGTCATAAACGATATGCCATATAGAATCTGCATACTCTCATAAATAAAGATTCAGAAAAATATGCGCATATAGAACCATTGCACATTAGTTTCCGGTGTGATAAAATATTAAATATTCTATACCGCACTAACTTCGTTATATTTTGTTGTTTTATTAATAGACTTTTTTTACTTTCTTTGCATTTTAAATAATATTAACGGTCTCACCAGTGGCGAATCTCTTGACTATCTCAGAGGCGGGTTCCACTTCGCTGATGGGAATAGGTTCGTCTAATTTCACCAATTCTAGTTGTCCGCGTAGGGTGCACGCTCTGATAGACTCCAAAGAGCTCTCCCTGTTTGAAAACATATTTCATTCATTCATAAATGCAACGCAGAAATTGTTATTTTGTCCGTAAAAAGAAGTATGTATGCTAAGATAGCAAGGCAACGCAACGTCTCATATTATATTTATAAAGAAAGAGATATGCAAGTAAGTTTCAGTTCATCATATACATATTTATTTCCTAGTTTAGTAGAGTATATATATATAACATAAAAGAAATTAAATTTTAGTTTAAATGAACCAGATTTCCGTATATATTATAAATTATGCAAAAGCAATAAGAACACAACAGTAGTATTAGACAAAAAGAACTTTTTAACTCTGTAAAGCAATCACATTGAAACGAGCAGTACTACCATTTTGAATAAATATCACAAAGAGGCTAAAGAACCTATTTAAAAAAAATTACGGGTAGCTACAATATGGCTATAATTTACGCGTGCAAAATCGCGACTAGTTTTAAATATAAACATACGATGCGATTTCTAAAAAGTCCGGAGGACCGTGGATCGTCAGTACTACCTAATATTTTTCTTTAACATATTTTCCTTTGCTTACATTCACAAGTCAAATAATTGTAAAACTACAGAGGTTTTGATTATTTGGGTCTAAAGTAGTTGAAAATTGAAATACTGTAAATAACGTTTTTAAAGAATACATGTATTTTATTTGCAAAATAATTAATCCAAAAAGCCGGCCAAGTGCGAGTCAACTCGTGCACGTAGGGTTCCATAACGAAAACGAATAAAAAAATCACGTTTGTTGTATGGAAGACCACTTAAATATTTATTTTATTCTATTGTTGTTGAAGCGGCAACTGAAGTACATCATCTGTGAAAAATTCAACTGTCTCATTTTCACGGCTAATGTTACACAGCTTGGTGACAAACAGAAAGCCGAGTCTTATTAATATAGTTGTTGTTTTACCATTTGGTTACGGAACCCTACAAATTAAAGATGCTGCCGAAAATTACACAGATGGGTTAGGGCGTTTGGCCTGTGATATTCTGGTTAAGCTTTTGCAAGTGTCAATCAATTGGATCAAAAATTTATTATTGAACTTATAGAAAACCTCCGCCCGATTTCAATATCATTTTCATGGATATAAGTCTCTTTTGATATAAGTATTATTGTGTATATTTTATGAGTATAGTTCAATAAAATATATGTTTTGGTTTTGCAAACAATCGACCATATGTTTAATATTAATAAAATGATCTTAATTTGGCAAATTTTAGCATAGCCTTAATAAAATTGAGTGAAAAAGTGGCTATTTCGTAAAATCTCGCCTTAATAGGCTGATTATGAATCTTATAGTTACCTGAATTTATCGTAAGCGTTGTTATTGTTGCCGAGCACGGCCTCCTGCAGGTTGGCGATGGAGAGCGGGTCGTTGATGTGTTTCTCGCCGCCCGCGCGCCAGTGATAGTTGCCCGGGTTCCTGTACACCCACTCACTATACAAATATCGCCTAAAACGTAGCCTATACGTCTCCTACCACTTGTTTTAGTTGGTTACATAAAACATAACTTTTTTTTTACGTTTACAACTTCTACTGACTTGCAAAACAAAGCAATCGAAGTGTTTTCATGGCATTTTTCTTGCTTTACAATTTTAAGTAAGGAATTCATAAAAAAAAACACAAAAACTGTTTTCTATCATGGCTGATCTCGTCGAATTACTAAGTCTCATTTTTGTTATCTATTTTATACTTATTCCGTTTCTAAATGTATAAAGATTTCTACTCAGTTTTAGCTCATACAATGTTATTCAAACTCTGACTTTTTATCGTATTAAAGGTGTATTTTGTATCTGAACAGGTAGATGTGATGGATAAAGTTTTAGGCTTCTTAATTAAAGTGCTTCTTACCGTAACACGAGACAGTCAGTTATGTTGGTGTATGTAAGCGCGTGCCTGTCAAATATTTCTTTAGACAGAAGCTCGAAATTCACACCACCTGAACAAAAAAATATATAAAAAAAAATGGAAGGAATACATTATGATATGAAAATATGACGGCTGCTTCTTTCACACTGTTTCATTTCATGCAGAGATGTCAAGATTGAAAAATGTGTATTAGAATATGAAATCACTTACAACTACACTTACTTACAAAATATAAAAGATAAATATAGGTATATAAAAAAGCTCACCGATAAATAATCAATATAATGCACATAAACATAATAAAATGGACAGAATATATAGTCTAGAGCAGACTCAGAGAACATCTGCATTAGCAGCACCCGTTCACGAGCATGACGCTCGAAAAGAAGAAAATATCTTTATTCTAGAAGGTTATGAAGATCTGTCCGTAGCAGAGTGGTTATAAGGTGTCGCCATTACTGAGGTCCAGGTTGGATTCTCGGTCGGGTCAATTCAGAAAATTTACTTTTCTATATTGTCTCGGGTCTGGGTGTTGTTATCTTAGTTATCTTAGACACTCTACAAAACGAGGAACTTAGGTACTCATCTTGGTATCTGATCGATGTTTGTAATATTGTTGAATATGTATTATTTATTATTATGAAAAAGAGAGGAAAAGAGAAACATTATTTGTTATAAGGTGTAGAAGTGAAAGGGAAAAATATATAATATAGTTCTTTATTCTAATCTATACTAATATTATAAAGAGCAAAGATTTAATTGTTTCTTTGTTTACATTGAAGGGGCTCCAAAACCACTGGAGCGATTTGAAAAATTATTTCTCCTACAGAGGGTATATTTAACGTGGTTGGCAAAGGCTATAATTTACGAGAGCAAATTCGCGGGACAAAAAGCTAGCGTGTATATAAATTAGATAATACACTTACCGATCCTGGACTGGGTGCCTCTGAAACATTTGTCGATGACCTCTTCACTGAGACCGACAGCTTCGAAAATCTGCGCGCTTTTGTAAGATTGCAGTGTACTTATACCCATTTTTGCCATAACCTGGATACAAACACAACACGAGGACTTATTAGAAAATTTAAAGTGTTTTGTACTTTTAATCGGTACTATTATTAAAAAAAACAAACAAAATAACTCGGTGATGTAGTGGATGAGCGCCGCGGCCCGCGATCGTTGTTGTTAAGCAAATTTGGCAGGGGTCTGTCAGGGGATGGGTGACTAAGATATTATTATCTCGAGCTACTCCGTGCTCCGGAAAGCACGTTAAGTTGTATGTCCCGGTTACATTTGCAGTTGTTAATACCCACCATTCGGCATTAGACCAGCGTGTAGGGTCATGGTCCGTCAGACTTAGTCATCCACAAGGAAGGTCTGAGAAGGTCTGCAGTGGGGACGTAAAACAGGGCCGATTATGATGATTAAAAAATATATATTTAATACAATTTATGTGTACAAATTGAATTTGAAATGACCAGGAAATTAATAATTATGAATAATCAAGGTAAAGCCTAACCTTAGCCAGTCCGGTCTCGATGGATTTCTGGTATGCTTTGTATATGTCCTCGTCTGTGAGCGAAGGCTCTAGTATGTTGTCGTTACGCAACGAGAACGCCAACTCGAAAGCCAAGTACGGACATATCGCATCTGCGCCATATCCTAATGAATACATTCGGTGTAAGTAAATAAAATAGGCTTAAACATTTCTTTTTTAACTAAAAAGGTGATTAACAAATACCACAAACTTCATTTGAACTGTAAATATATATGTTAATTTTTATAATTATTTATGATTTTTATTTTAAGATTCTATGATTTTCAGGATGAATTTAAGTTCTAATTTATTTTCTTAGTTAAAACGCTTTATTCACTTAGTCCCTGGCAATCTGAGATGGGACTCGAAGCCATGACCTTTCACAAACCGCAATCTTGAAGCATTTTCCATTAAGAATATTTTTTAGTATAGCATTGTGAATGCAAACTTGGATCAAAATATTTTCTATTTAATTTCAGTTATTTTAAATTCACGATTATGTTAAGTGTTTATGCTTGAAACATTTTATTTATAATTATCATAGAGGCCACTCACCAAGCAACACACACATGTGGTGAACCTCTCTGGCCTCCGCTGTCTCCACAATGAGGCCCACTTTCATTCGCTGTCTAGTTTCGATCAAATGATGGTGAACAGCGCCTGTTATTACAAAGTAGATCTTAATATCAAATTAACTAGAATTGAGACAATATAGAAAATTCTACTCATCAAAATTTGACAGACGACTGACTTAAAGCCAACATACGATTTACTTCCAGAGAGCAAATTACTTTTTTAGAGCTGACTGATGAGTCTGTCAATATTTTCCTTCCGTTTACAACTATATACGTCTCTCGCTTCTACTACACGCATAAAACTTTTTATTCACGAACGCCGGTTTAGAGTACTCTTGATCTGTTTTTTTTTAATACATCCGCCATTTGGTCGTGATCCGTTCGTCTAGGTCTTTCTCTTCCAGTATTCTCTGTCACACTCGTCTTCTTCATCGACTTTTACTCATCCTTTCAATGAGCCTAGAGCGAATACACGACTGACTTATACCCATTTTCACTAACCTTAGGAGTCACCCAAATCTGTCGCTTAAATATTTAGGAATCGCCTAATATTAAAAATATTTATTTGGAATTAAACTCATCTGCTTAGGCGTTTCCTAGTTAAGCTATACTTTGTTCTAGGTTAGAGCTATGACACGACACTGACACCCATTAAGGTTTAACGACGCCTCTGAGCAGTGCCGGATTAAGCCAGAGCGGGGACTGTAGCAATGTTTTGAGAACCTCCCTCCCAATGGTTTGCTTGAGATTAATTATATATGATAAAAAAAAAGTTTCTCGCCGGTTCTTCGCGATACAAGGTCTCGCCGTAAACTTACGAACCGATGGCGTAGTTCTCGACGTTCACAAGCGCTTGTCTGAATAAATAATTTTTTAACAAATGCGCGGGTTCCAAATACGCAGATCCCACAAATGCGTGGGGCCCGTAGCATCTGCTACTTTTGCTGTATGGCTAATCCGGCACCGCTTTTGAGCTCTAATGAATGTCAAATTTGTATCGGCGAGGTCGCTTTAAACCAATGTGAATTCTATGGTAGTAGCACGGTGGCGTAGTGGACAAGCGCCGCGGCCCGCGATCGTTGTCGTTAAGTAACTTTCGCAAGGGTTGGTCACGGGATGGGTAACCAAATTTTTTTTTTAATGGGATAGGGGGCAGACGAGCAGACGGATCACCTGATGGTAAGTGATTACCGTCGCCCATGGACACCTGCAACACCAGAGGGGCTACAAGCGCGCTGCCGGCCTTTGAGGGGTGAATATGATCATAGGGAGGGAAGGCTTGAGGGGTAGAGGGAAGGGAATAGGGAGGGGTTGGGCCTCCGGTACCCTCACTCACACGACGAAACACAACGCAAGCGTTGCTTCACGTCGGTTTTCTGCGAGGCCGTGGTATCACTCCGGTCGAGCCGGCCCATTCATGCCGAAGCGTGCTACTCCGTGCTTCGGAAGGCACGTTAAGTCGTTGGTGCCAGCTGCATTTGTAGTCGTTAACACCCTCCAAACCGCATTGGGCCAGCGTGGAGGGTCATGGCCCATCCATAAGGAAGGCCTGAGCCCCTGCAATTGGGACGTAAAATTGCTGCTGATGATGATGAATCCTATGTAACGTAGATCCAACTGACCTAGGGCCAGCAGCGAGCTGACGGGCACGCGCGCGGGCCCCGCGGCGCGGTCCGAGAGTACGATCAGCTGGTAGCCCTGAGTGGCGGCCAAGTGGGCTTCGGCAGCGATGTGGGTCAGCGCCGGCTCCAGACCACTCGGACCCTCCATGTAATCGTACGTGCAATCTAACACCTTCGTCTGTCGACAAAAATAAATATTAGTTAGATTCCAAGAGACAACAGCAAGACCCGAGGCAATATAGAAAAGTTCGTTTTCTACATTAACTCGACCGGGTATCGAACTCGGGATCTCATAGATGGTGACGTTGAAACCGGCGTGCGAACCACTCTGATACGGCGTTCGTCAAAATTAGGACAAGGGTAAGCAAGTGAACAGTTCAGAAAGGTGATGCTCTATGTTTCTATTTGGAAGCAAAATATCAAGAATATTTGAGGTAGTTTCTTATAACTTTTTCATAGTGCTGTTAAATATATTTTAACATATGCTAAGTAATTTTAACTACTTGTTCTTCCTCTGTGATTTTTATTATACAATACAAAATTCTTTATTGTTCACATTACACAATTGAATACACAATTTTATAGTAAATTGAAGAACGTTGAAACCGGCGTGCAAACCACTTGGCTCCGGCGGTCATAAAATCCCAAGTGACTATAGTTAAGTAATATTACGAGTACTATAGAAATCTGAAGTAAAGAGAGTACTACAATATCCAGATATATAAAAGTTTATTTTCTGTATTGACCTGAACAAGAATGGAAGTTAGGGTTCAGAGATGACGACGCTTTAAAACCGGCGAGTGGATTTTTTACATAAATGTACATAAACAGTAAAAATGATTCCATATTACTAAAACTCTGCAAGATATACAGTTGAAATTACCACAAAAGATATATTTCTCAATAGAAATAATAATGTAACCTAACCTAACCTAACTCTTTACATTTTTTTAAAGATATGGTAAGGAACAAATTAAAATAAAAGTGTTATTATTAGTTAACATTACCTTCCAACCGCGGTGGGAGGATCGCAGCAATGCATCGAGATCTTTAAGCGACAGTATCGGCTGCGGAAGAAATAGTCGATGCACGAAGGACGCACTCGGTTCCAGGATATTAGGGGCCGGACCGATGGGACATAGTAGCGACATTACTATCTTCTCCCTGAAACACAGCTAGACCATTCACGCACCGAATCGGCGATCGTCGGTGTGAAGTAACTTAAGCAATGGTCGATCAAAGGATGGACGAGCAAAAAATGTTATCTCGGGCTACTTAGTGTTTCGGAAGGCACTTTAAACCGTTGGTCCCGGCTGCATTTGCAGACGTTAATACCCTCCAACCCGCATTGGGCCAGCGTGGAGGGTCGTGCCCCATCCTCCTTAACCATTCTTAAGTAAGGTCTGAGCTCCCATGAAAATTGTATTTCCTTTTCTATCAACCATTAAATGCAAATAAAACGTGAAATGTTAATACTTAAATTAGTCGCAAAAATGCGGCAATTTGAATTGTGACGTAATTGTTCAAACTGAAAAATTATAACTTTTAATAATTTTTAAGTACAATCGAATCAAATCAAATCTTTTATTTGCAAATGCAGGTGGGTACATAGAGGTGATGCACAATTCATGTGAAAATTGAGCCTTATTTCGCCACTTGGCGTGCAAAACTATTATTTAATTAAATTATTATTTTAATAATGTTAAATACAATAAATCATTATTATGTTCATTAGTGATTGATTGAACTAAAATTTCAATGTGATATACATAAAATAATTTTAAAATACAATAAATATCATTCAGTCATTTACAAATTGGTCAAGACTATAATAAGCCTTATTCAATTACATACATTTTAATTTACTGCGAAATTTACTTAAACTATGTTATATTATATTTTCATACTAATTTACTTAAACTATTGATATTTTCAATGTCATACATCGAAGCTATTGAATTTTTGTTTGAATACAACGACAGTGTTTGATTCTGTTTAATGTTTTCAAATTCAACTATCGATTAAAAACTCCAATTTGGACGAGGTTTTTTTAGCAATTAATTCAGTGTGTACGTAGTGTTACCTGAAGGGGTCGATGGGTGGGTTGGTGACCTGCGCGAACAGTTGCTTGAAATACTCGTAGGGCAGCGGCTGGAACAGCGACAGGCACGCGAGTGGGGCATCGTTGCCCATACTGCCCAACGCCTCCTTCCTACGTCACAAGCGTATATCATCAATGCCCTGTCGTTTATATTCAAGACGCGGCCTTTATCGATCGGCGAATTGCGTGTCAAATACTATTACCGATGTAATGTGACGTTTTGGCCTATTCAGTGCCCTGACTTATATGATCTAGTTTGTCATTTTCAATCACAACTTATTCGGTCGATGTTTATCCCTACGGTCCCGTCCCTTATACTTCGTTGAAAGTAAACATCTGGCGGCGGCTTAAAATAAAAAAGTGTGTAATCGTTAATTATAATAATCAACATAAATTATTATATATAATTTAATTATCAATATATAATAACTATTAAAATCGATGTATAAAAGACGTATGTCTCTAAAGTAAAAAATCAATAATCACGCGTTTGAAAGTAGCATACTTTTTTCGGGTCATCTTTTCTCTCGATCTACACACGACTTAGATTTTTTTTTTGTGAAAATATTATAACACTTGCATTACACCTGTTTTTCTTGGTATATAGATAGATAACTGAAAAAAGACATTTATATTTTTATTGACCGCTGGCTTGCGAACCTCTTAAGAGGCTCGCGGGAACTGCGTGTCACGTAACCATCGCCTCTTAAGAGGCGCGTGGGACCGAAGAGGTAAAAAAACATTAAATTTCATTATTTTTATATGCACGCCTTTTTAATTGTAAGGAGGTTCCATTGAAATATTTAAGCTGCTTTTTCAATGTCAAATGCCAAGGTTTACTAAGGACATTATTATCAAGTTGACTATAAAAAAATTGAATCCATATATCGTTCCAAAACTTTAAAGTCGCAATACATGACGAGTTGCCTGATGAGTGGACTCACTTGTTCTGTATCATGGGCACGAGCAACATGTTGATGGACTCGAGCGTGTACCCGAACAGGCCGAGGCGCTTGTCCCCGAGCCCCTCGATGGCGCCCACCCCCTCCCACGCCCCGTCGTCCCCCCCTCCACTCGAGACCGACTTGTGGATGTCCTCCATCGTGATCTGTTCATTTGATGCCATTTATTAACAACAACTTATTATTCTCCCCGTTTCTTTCTATAGGGAAGGACAAGCAAAACTATGAAGAGAATACGCCATAATCTCCCACGTGGACTGCAAATCTAATCTCAATCATGGTGGAGTTCGAGGTAATAGCTTTTTGGGCTTTGGAAAACTGCTCCAATATCGCAATTGCAGCCGACTGAATGCGTTACCCACTACGTTTATGAGTTCCTGCATGAGCTGAAGGTATCTAATCTTTTGAATTAAATCTTCATCATGATTATCCTGTTCATGTACCCACTATTAGAAGAGCAGAGAACGAGGATAATACGGATTGACTAAAATCTGATGCACAAGCAGAACGATGGACATCAGCGTTTGAGGAATTTCGTCAGAAATATCGGAGATCTCCTGCGATGGGGGAGAATGATGCTCAGCAGTGGGAGTAGTCAGTGCTTTCCAAATAACACAACACAACTAATCTGTCAGAAGCATGGCTTATTTTATTTCTTGCATTATTTAACACTGACTTGAAAGATTAATTAATCGACTCTGAACCATAGCGAGGCTCAAAATTGCGCGGGGCCCCCAAACACGCGGGGCCCGAAGCATTTGCTACTTTTGTTACGTGGCTAATCCGACCCTGGGTATCGTACGTTCGATTTGACTATGATACTATTTTTCAATAACTGTGCTATTTTAAATTGTTAGTATTCTTGGTTAATTCAAATTAGCAGTATAAACTTTTTTTATATTGCTATTACTTTGTGACAGAGAAATATAGCTATTTCACATTAGTAGTGATAAATTAATGCTTAATTTCTTAAGCAAATAAAAACGAAACAGAGCTGTATATATGCTCTACAAATAGTATAAATTAATATAATATAATAGCTTCTTCGGTTAAATTCAAACTACCTACAAGCTACAGTAAATTTTTAACGCATATATTTCGTGTTCAAAATTGAAAAATACATTGTATAAAGCCTTTTGATTAACTGCATAAAATCCAAAATCATTAATAAGCTCGAAAATATTTTGTATCGTAAGTACACTGCAAAACAACACGTTTTCATGCGTCAACAACCGGCACTCACCATCTGATATAACATTCAAGTTATCCCAACGCAGACCAATGCAGCACAGAGAAATAGAGATACGTCACAGATTAGAATTATAGATAGCTTAAAAATACAATGAACCGCTCCAAAGCTATTATGGTAATAAAATATGCAATTTAATCAACATGCTTGAAAAACATGACTGAAACACATAAGCAAATATTTCGCTATAATAAAAAATACCAATAAAAAATATTATATCTCGTATCGACCTTGAATTATATCGCTTAACTGCATTACATTGCCTAAGTAAACTTTATTATTTTCGCATATACTGTAAATTCATCCGGAAGGACCAGTGTTTCTATCGAGTAATTACAGTTACATTGATATCCGATTGAATGAAGTTCCTCACATTTAATTGTAACAATGAAATAAAAACAAAAAAATAATAGAATGCAAAAAGAAATCGAGTATATTTAAATAAGACACTGATAAAATACAATCTAATATCGCATAGTACGATTTATCCAATTATAGACCTTAAGTATTTGTATTGGCATTGTTAGGTGTTAAACATTCATAGTGTGATAGTTCCAGTGAAGAAGGTGAGAGATTCATAATTTTAAATTAATTACCTGTTCCTTGAGCCACTGCGAGTGTGGACGGCTTCGTGCGATCTGCATCTTCAGTTCTACGTCTTGTATAATCTTTTTGTCTTGGGTGTCCACTAGCAACATACGGCCAGGCTTCAAACGACTCTGATACAAAAAACATAAGGTTTAAAATTTTACGAAATAAAAATCACTGGCAACGAAATTATTTCATAAAGATATCATTTTCATATTTTGTTCTTACAATAATGAGTCATGTGTGTGTTACCTTAAGTATGATTTTGTCTGGGTCTACGTCATAGACGCCTACTTCGGATGCCATGACGAGTATATTTTCACTAGTCACGTAGAAACGAGACGGACGTAGCCCATTTCTGTCCAATATAGCTCCTGTAATAACAAAATAAAAGTATTTTAAACGACTGCTTTAGAACAATAATAATAAACCTTTTATTTTAGACCCAGTAATCATAAATTACAAATTACAGAATCATGTGATATGGTAGCTGTCCTGCTTGTCGAGGGGCATGTGGTATATATACAGATATAGAGTGTACGTATATATATACACCAAAACCGAATAATTCGGCCGAATAAAAAATAGTAAGAAAGTTGCCGAATACCAAATAAATATTCGGCGCATCTCTAATATATACTTACCTATGTACCGTCCGTCAGTGAAGGAGACGAGCGCGGGCCCGTCCCAGGGCTCCATGGCGGAGGAGGCCCACTGGTAGTAGTCCCGCTTGTCGTGGGGCATGGTGGTATCGTTCTGCCAGGCCTCGGGCACCATCGTCATCACTGCCTCGGGCAGGGAGCGGCGTCCGCATTGTACTAGAAATTCCAGTACGCAGTCCGCGGAACCGGAATCAGACAAGTTCGGCTCCACCACAGGGTAGAGCTTCTTCAGATCTGTTCACGACCAATAATAGCATAATTTAATATTCTTTATAAAATTTAAAACTAAAATATTATCAACAAAAGTCTTATTGAATTAGAATTTTTTAGGTACTGTTTTTTTAGTTAATATTTACAGTGCGAACACTTGTAATTAGGGTAAAAACTGAAAATCAGTGCTTTGCTCTTTGAGTAAATACATACTGAGTTTTCGCCCATTTGCATCGCTGCGGTACACATAATGTTTGATTGTCCTGTTTTAGTTTCTAATATTGTGTAAAATCCAAATTGTAAAATTTTGTGTATGCATGATGCAAATAAAGAATTTATCTATCTATCTATCTAACTTGTAAAATTATATCGTGCAATTTTGTCTTAATTTGAATATTTAAGAAATAACGTTACCATCGCGACGAACCTAATCCAATAAAGGCATTTCAGAATTTAAAAACAAAAATAGACTCAATTACCTTCACCAAAGAGCTCACTCTTCATAACACCCTCACGGGCTTTCATCAGATTCACATTACCTCGTAATGTATTTATTTCGCCATTGTGGGCAAGAACTCTGAAAATACGACACCATTTAATATATTAAACTTCTAGCAAGTAGGTTCTTAAAAATGAAGATTCTAATGAAATACATAAACAAAGACACTATTGTATACTTTACCTGTATTTATAGATATAGCACAGTCGCGAGGCTCACCACTTTATTATGACAAAATTGGCTAGATGCATCTGTGCGAGCTCAATAGCAATATGTATGCACACGAGTGAAAAATATATGTAATATCTGTTAGGATTAATATGCTACTGTGTACATAATTAAATATATTCTAATCAATTCGAAATTTATATGAAATAAAAAATATACTTCTTTAAAGATAATGTTGGGTGGTTGATGTAGGTACGCTTTCTATACTTGTCGCTCCTGTGAGACACTTTACGATTACTTATCATACAATTGGTACCATAAAAAATATCATCCATAATATATATTGTAATGAGATAAATGTCATAGCTTAGTTTATGTACCTATTATTTAACTTTATAATCTCGCCGCTAGAGTAAACACAGACATAAGCAAACAAAATGTTCTAATGTTCTACAAGCTCATGGTATCTTTAGTACTAAAACTAGTATTATCAACATCTCAATTTTATTAAAACATGTCACAGCCACAGTCAACTCGTTAAAAGAACGGCTAGTCGTTTAATTGAATAACGCGACTCAACTACACGCCTACATTTGTAGTTAAAATTAAGTCTGACTCGAAAACGGCTGTACCTACTATTCTTTTTTATTCCGATGAAATTTAGTCACATGGTTAAATTACTTTAATATTATATTACATTAAAAATTGATCACGCCTTCATCTCAAGCCATTGTCAATAATAACAACAATTAAAAAAATACAAAATATAATACAAAATAAAAATTACAAAATGGATTTTAAGGCAGTTTTCATTAAGATTTTTTTTTCAGTATAACATTGTGAATGCAAAATTGATCAAATATAATAACTAAACAAATTTTAATCTTTATCAAAAGATTACATATTAAATAAAATATTTCTTTCAGCTGTTTGAGTCGATTGCCTTAACATTGAGGAAAACACCCTCTATTGTAGCGAAAAAGAAACAAGTGCTTGAAAAATTCGTCAGTCCTGCTAGGTCCTGGGTAGCTCAGTGGTTAGAGCAGTCACTCGGATTGCGAAAGGTCATGGGTTCGAGTCCCATCTCATGGTGCCAGGGACAAATTGATTTTTCAAGCATTTTTCATTAAGAATATTTCCAGTATAACATTGTGAATGCAACATTGATAAAATATAATAAATTGTTATTGCTTTAGCAAACTATTATTTATTCAGTTTGTACGTTGTGTTCAGACTAGATTATTAGTCATATAGTTGGATGATATAAAAAGAATTGTGCAATTAAACCGTTTAACCGTTTGACTGCTATATAAATATGAATTAATAAAAAAGTTGATTAATTATTCGAATGAGTTTCGATTATTTTGATTTGCAACATAAATAGAAAGGTCAACACGCAAACGTAAGATTCAATACAGCACGCAATCTTAAACAGCCCCGTAAAGCGACTTATGTACCAAATCACGAAACTGTATTTTGGCAAAATGTTTTCTACTTTAGACCTTAAACGTTTAATTAAACTAATTAAGATCTAAAATCTAAAAAAAATGTGTATCCCGTATTACTTGTTAATTCTTCAGATTTCTTTAGTGATGATATAAAATAATATTTATTATTGTAAATAAACCGACCAATAGCAACTGACCTCAAAGGGTGTGCTCTTTCCCAGCTGGGGAAAGTGTTGGTTGAGAATCGTGTGTGGACTAATGCCAGATACGTCGTGAACGCTGGATTGGTTAGGTCCTTGAAGTACTCCTGCAAAACATAAGTTATATCAGTATTCAATACATTTTTTTAATCATCGTTTGGGGATCAAACTTGTTTAACAAAACTTTCTTAAACTGGTTTATTTCGTAAGTTTCAGCGAAAAATATAAATTACACGGCAAAAATTTGGATGATACCTATTTCTTATCAGTCTTTAAAATATCCTTAATAACACTGGAACCAATCATTAACTTTCAGAAAATGCCCGAGGTTACTCACCCATAATTGATTGGACGTCAGCAGTCCTTTGTAAACAACAGTCTTCAATGACAAACTGCATATATAGAACCTCGCTCCCGGCACCACCAGTTCATGTGAAGCCCTCTTCCTCAACACGAACACCTGCGCACACAACAATATCCACAATACCGCCCACACGCACACAAACAAAGTCATTAAGCAAACATTATCTATGCCATTACGTTAGCTCCGGCGTCCACGTTGCACCGTCCACGCGACGTACATCTGAAATAAAACACTTCAAAACATTTTTCCCTACTCCCATATTATTTTAAAAGAGTTTGAATTCCCAACGAGGCGTTGGGAGTTCATACTCCGCGGTTCCCTCGCGACTGGCGCCTGTCGTCTTACCTGACGTGAGAGCTGATTCTCGTCTTCTATATCTCCGGTAACAAACACTTGGCGCATAAATGGCTCCGAGTTACGAGCCACTTGACCTGAAAAAGCCAGTCAAAACAGGCCATTACTAACTTCGCCGGGGAGAATAGATTTTCACAGGTGACAATACTAAGTCTTACAACTATAAATAAGCTAAAACACATTGGTAATTAGGTACTTATGAAAAGTTTTAAAAGTTTTGCTAGTCATGGGAATGTAATTCTATTGACAAGCTGCGTGTACATTAATGTCCCAAGCAATCGTGAATCTATGTTTAGTACGGTTAACGGTAAATTATAATGGGTAACTATATAACGATCACAAAATGATAATTCCTGAATAGTCGTTTAACATTATTCTATTTAAAACCCATTAGTCCTATGGAAATGGTAATGGAGGTGCAATTTGTTTGTTTTTTTTTCACAACTAATGGATTTTAACATAAATACTTTTTTAATTTCAAATGAATATATTTTATAATACCTTCGGTATGATTCTAATTCTCCAATAAAGGAAAGATTCAATTAATAATATTAACAATTAGCTTTAAAAAATTAATTTTCAACTTTATTTACCTTAAAATCATACCGATCAGTATATTACTGGCATATCAAACAATGCTCGCATCAATCATAAATTTAAAATTAACGAGAAAAAAAGTAATGCGAACACATCAGATATTTCACTAGTATCGGTACCAAGAACATCGAACTTACTCGATCCTCATTAAAAAGATTTCATCGATAAAAAAGATACAATCGAGTAAGTTCGCCGTAAACAGTACCATAGTTTGTGAAATTGAACAAACCAGATGGTCAAGCATCGCATGACCCCGGCGGCCGCGTTTAAGGGCCATATAAGAGGCACCCATTCGGTTTGCTACCAGATTGCGACCTGCAACGAGAGTCGCACGACAAAGTCGCAGCACTGACTGTCCATGGAGAAAGCAAGCCAACTAGGCACATCATTCATTACGTAACCTATGGAGGATGTTGGATATAGGCAACACAAGTTATCGACTATAGCACTGTCCAGATATAAATCACCGTTTCTAATACCGAGAAATTCAAACACTATTTACAAAAAAAAAAAAAATTAATGGTAAGCAGTTACTAATGAAATTGCGCTGATCAATAAAATTATGCAATCAGAAACGGTGTTTTATCAAAGCAAGAATAATCGTAATTGAAATTAAGGTAACGAAAAATTAATTGTAATTACTTTATTATTACATGCCAAACAAAAAATTATGGCTTGAATCTGATTATCAATCTATCTATCGAAATGAGAGATACTATAATTTTAAATAAAATGACCATTTTAAATAATTTACTTCTTTGTTTACACTCGGAGTAAACGTAGATATTACCAAAATCATAACATTTATTATTAGATGGAAATTTTCCAAAGTCTTATTCCTAATTAACAATTTAAAAGGAACGTTTTGTTTATAATAATAGTCTATAGTTGCCCCATGCAGAATGGTGATGAAACGATACGGAGACAAAACAAAGTAAAACACTTACCGATTGTAGAATTGTTGGTTGGAACAGTCCTCCAACAGAGTACTTTAAGTCCGAGGCTCTCGGATAACTCTTGGAACTTGTTCTCGATCTCTTGATGGTGGAGTTTATCAAGGAAGAAGATGCCGGTAGCGTAACGGCCGAACGCCGGCAAGTCTATTTGGTGAGAATCTCTGGAACAACAAAAGCTTTTTGTTTAAACTAATGTTTCGGAAGTATACAAAAAAATTATGTGCTGATTTTTGTTAACCTTTTTTTTTTAAGATATTCATTCTTTTTCATTAGATATGTGTATTTGTAGTGCCAATTGAACGTTATTCATTGAGTATTATTCTCTTGTATTATGTAACCGTAAAATTGTAAACATCGTCAATTTATAATATATCTCATAAGATTGAGTTCGATAATAAACTGACATAATTTTGAAGTGACATAATTATCTTTCGCGTTAGTAGCGTGTTCTTAAATATGCCTTTCTAGTAATTATTTATATCATTCTCACTTATCATACTACTTATGAGCATAAACTCTTATCGTAATGTTGTTCGCAATGCAAAGGTCAGAGGGCTACGAGGGAACGTGCGCGCGCACAGTGACGTCACACTGAAACTCCAGCCACTATTGACCAACGAGGCATACTCGCCCACAACGAACTAGCACGAGAACCACTGTGCCAGAATAAACGCTATTCGCTTACAGAATTCGACACAGTTTCTCCTTGTTGGAACGATCGATGTGTCGATAAGTCTAGACTAGACGTGGTATATTCGTGAAGCCCACAAGGCACGCGGAAAATTTAGGGACGGGTGTGACATAACATGCGCGATCCGAATTACGGCGTATATTCGACAAAAGATATTAGAACTCCTCGAGTTTGTGGGGTGGGATTCCGCTTTTATTGAATTCCGTCAAGTCGGATTTAGTAAAGCTTTGTTATTTGTCCTTATACTTTTGTTTATTTAATGTATTACAAAAGAGCTATTGTATTCACATCCGGCGCTTATAACCGATGATTCAGCAAAGCTATTTCAGGAATGGAATTGTTGAGGTTTATACGTCACACGTAACGTATTCGTTGTTATGTCATGAATGTAAGATGTTAGAGGCTATTTTAAACTAACGAGCTGAAAGATGAAACTAATTAGCGTCACCTGCATAAATGAGAATGAAGGCCTACTATAGTAAACAGTTTGTTGAACAAATAATAATATTTGCAATATTTATGAAATTTTTAATTAGTGTACATACATTAGATAGATAATAAATAAATATTTCATGCAAATCTGCCAAACTCTAGAGATCACCCTGGAGTTACTAGACTTGCTGGTCGAACTAGCTTACGCAGATTGCGCCTTCACCATCATCACCAGTCCACTAAGGTCCTCACTGGTGGGCACAGGCCTTCCCAATGGATCGAATCGAATAGGGAGTATGGCTCATACAGGCTCAGTGTGGATGGGTGGGTTTTAAGGACTACAGATACAGTTAGACCAACTGCTTAACGTGCCTTCCGAAGCACGGAGGAGCCTAGAGATAATAATTGTTGGCCCATGCGAAAATTGTTGAAAATTGAACTACTGCAACATCGAGACTTATATTTAAGTATCGAGCTACTGCAACACCAAGACTTTTATTGAAGTATCGAGCCTTTATTGCGCATTACATCTTAGGAACTGCATATTAGCAAGATGGTGACGATGAATACATAACGCATGCGACTTGGATCGCGACATTCGGCACACATTTAACGTTTGATGTTTGTTCGTTGGTACAACAACATCCGTCGATAAGGAATGAGACGAGAATGCACGCTTAGATAAATTTTACGTCTATCTCATGTCTACATTCCAATTATTAATAATGTATTTACTTTTGTTTACTCATAAAATGTTCACTTCTGACCTTAATCCAAACTAAAGACATTAATTAAACGGAACCTAGTCACTCTTGCTTTGGGTATTATATACGAGTAAACTCTGGTATATAGACGCCGACAGGGAGTTCCATTCATTAGCAGTGCGCGTAATAGTTTTCGAAATATCGTGCCTGAAAGTATGGATAAAGAATATATATATTCCTTATAGATTCAGTACCTTTTAAATTGCTGATCAGAATTTAACCATTAATGAAGTGGATATCTAATGAAATAAAGACATTATTAATATTTTGATTAAACAAATATCACTAGAACAACCCACTTAGGAAGGTGAAATTCCGTCACATGAATATGTGATGTTTTTTATTAAGATATGCAACGTTGGGTAAGTTCTAGATCATAGTTATGTAATGCTTATAATCCGCAGACTGATTTATCATGGATGTCAAAAGATAAAGTAAAAAAATGCGTCTACATTTTTACGTAAGGTAATGCAACATAAACGCATGAGTATTATAAGAGGATTTAGGATTGTAATAATATATGTAATACCCTGTAGGTTTAGCTTCAAACGATATGTTACATTGGAACTTATTACAGGGTATTATAATATTATATAAGGTGTTACATGTGCCAGGACTTCGTAGGGTGGATGTGTTAAATATACTGAACAACTTTTATTATGGGAGCAACACTGAATTCACGAAAAAATAATCAGCTGTTTCATACTGTTGGTAGGTTTTGTAATTTTGTACTGAATTTGAATCACTCCATTAGTTTGGGGACAACTTGCTGTAAAATATGTGATCCTATCAGAGATTCCTTTTTTTTGTTTAGTATATAACAGCTAGCTTACCCGGCGAAATCTTTATAGTCATCTACAGTGCAAGTTAAAATAAAAACAATGAAATCAACGCGTTCTAGAAATGAGTTTTTATGCAAAAAAAAATAGTCCGTCTATTTACAAATCAAACGCGATCTGTCCAACCGGACGGTCGTACGTCGCAGTGTTTATGGTCTTAGCTCGGTATGCAATGCACTCCGCTGTTGTCTGGCCGGACGCCAACCCGTCAGCCAAATCGGGACATTTACTGTTTCCCAGGCCGCTGAACTGATACGAGGAAAGTGAGTTGATACTTCCTCTTATATGTAAATAAATTATTATTAAATCTGTTTGGGAGTTTAGTACGGTGCTCACTTGAAAACTAATGCGATTGTCCTAAGCCCGATTGTACTACCTATATTAGGAAACGCTCCATGACATACAGTCTATGAAACCAATGCAAGTGAAAGGAAAGAATCGCAAAATGAAGGCATTAAAAACAAATGTATTATCGACAAACAAAAAACGCAACAGAAATACCTACACAATCTGTGAAAATATCAACTATAAAGCAATCACGGTTCATAGGATACAGTCTGGTTATAGACAGAGGGACAGCGGAGCTTCAGTAATAGGGTTCCGTTTTTACCCATTGAGACCTTAAAAAAGAGTATATTTATTAATATCATGATAAAAAGAGACGATTCGTAGTACCAAATGGGGCATGATGAAGCGCATTATGAGCATGATTGTGGACGAGAATGTAAAGAGCGGAAGACCAAAGATAAGATGGATAGACAGGAGTGAACATTGAGATGATGGCTGATCAAGATAGGTATATATGAAAGAAGAATACACAAATAAGACAATCGGGATAAGAGACGTGAAAAGCTACAAAATACTTTAAACTAGCAACAAAGTTTTTTAGTTTTTAGTGAATCATCCATTGTTTTGTAACCGCAGTCTAGGAATTAAATATATATATTATATCTGACGTATACACAAATGATAGTAAAATAGTCGTGACAAGGCACACAAATAATACAGGAAGGAAATATTTACACAAAACACGATCAGATCACGTGAATTTAGGAATCATTCTTTTGCATCATTTCAACTGACGTAATATTAAACAATCATAAAAATCTGACATCTCGTATGTGCGATCTATTATGTTGGACTAATAATAAACGCTGCGATTACCCACAAATCTGATTTGTATTATAACAAGAAATTGATGAGAAGACTTCTAAAAGGCGCTGTTCACGACTAACTGTGCTCTTATATGTAAATAGCTTTTGATACTAGGTTTATTATACTCTTTGATTTAATATAACTATACTTTTTGGAATACTATATATTTATATGTAATAAAATAGATTATAAAATAAAATTAAACAAGTGGTCGTATCATTTACAGGCGCCTTTAACTGTATTCCTGCGACTTCGCCCGAGTAAATTATATTAAATTGTAGATGAAGGATTTTTTTAAATTTGCTAGTTTCGGAGCCTGTTCGAATCAAACAAACAAACAATCAAATCTTTTCTCTTTGTAATATTATAGTATATAATCTATAAAATCAACAATACGAGTAAAATAACCTTTTGCCTTATAATTTTTAAAAAAAATGAGAATTTTAAGACTCTCATACAAATCGCAAACAAATACGCATCGAGAGACGGAAAAAAAAACAAATACAGTTGTATAAAAAAAATTGTGATCCAAAGGATATGTCAAAAGTTTTGATATATTCTTTTGATACCAAAATAGGTTTTGATTAAGACTACAAAAATATATTAAAACTATTTCCAAAAAACCTATTTAGTCATCTTTACGATTTTTTTTCTATTGAGTCTATTATTGTTTGTTTTTAAGCAAGAAATCAATCATATGTTTATTTTTCATAGTATATTTTTTATTCGGCAAATAAAATTTAATAAAATTGGTTTTAAAAATAATTTTGTAAAGTAAAGTCGTGGTACAAGATTACATTTATAAAGATAGAATACCTTTTTATAGAATCAGTAAATTACGAAGACAACGTAACATCGGGTGGGATCATAAAATCAATACAAATAAGTGTAATTACATAGACAAGTTTATCGGTGAACTGTCCCACTTTCCCTCTGACCTACATTAAAAATCTTACAGCAGTTGGATTATATTAGTGCCGAGACGTCCTCGGTTTACGATTGCAGATGTTAAGCATATTGCGCAAAGGCTGATCGTCGGATGGGTGATCAAAAATTTACTGTCTCGAGCTTTGTACCAAGTGTGCCTGTGTGCCTGACTGAATCTACAGTAGTTCATCATCATCACCTTCTTATTAACGTCATCACTGCTGGGACGGGTTGGGGGATGAAATCGAATAGGGAGCGGGCCACCCACCACGCGAACTCAGTGCGGATTGGTGGGTATTAACGACTGCAGCTGAAGCCAGAACCAACGTACTAACGCGCCTTCCGAAGCACGG